TCCAAATGACTAATTTAATAATTTTCGTTTTAGATATTTTATAAAAACAGCGCATTTTTTAGGCTTTAATGTATAAATAAAAACTTATATAGTATTACAAAGTTCCTTTATTCTTTTTTTTTTTATGGAAATTTTCTGCTTGAATCGTCGGTAGTTTCAGCGTTAACCTTTTGCGCCGGAATGACGTGTCACGTACGCCGAAAGTATTTGGCCTAAAATTGCAATGTTTTCTCAGTTTTAAGCATATTGAAGTATAATCCAGGCAAAACAGGTAAATTACTTATTCTTCTTAGTAATTTCTATCCAGTGATATATCGATGAATTCAAAAAGAAGACCGATCATTGTAATGCGGTTTGGTCGCTCGTTATGGTCCGCGCAAGAGGTTAAAGAACCGTACGCAGAAGCGTGTTTGAACGAAGTCGTGGTTACGCAACGAAAATTTCGCCCCTCGACTGACAATGACCTCGGAGCCCTTTAGCAATAACACGGATGAGTTTTCCAGCGAGAGTAAGAACATTTAAACTGCGAAATTAATGGCGGAGGAGGGAATAACTTTGGAGAAGCGACGGTGATCGACGAAGAAAAGACCGGCTGTGTTCACTGTGGTGCGCGAGAGGAACAATAAAGATGTAGAGAGAAACGAGCGAGAACAGGGAGGGATAAAGACGCAGGATCGCGGTTCGAGGGAAGAAAGGAAAGAGAGAGAGACAGAGGAGAGCAAGAGAGAGAGAGAGCCAGGACAAAGAGCGTTGCGTCTCGGGGTCGCCGGCCGTTTCTCGTGGAGGTGTTGCAGCTTGTACTAAACCTCTCGACGAATCTCCAATCCCTCTCTGACCGATTCTTCCTTCAGTCGAAATCTTTTTCGCAGTTGGTCAATTGATCAAAATTTTCACGTTTCAAAATAGAGCGACAGGAGGAGGGGGGGGGGGGATAATCGGGAGCACGTATTATTTCGAGCGTGTTCTCTTTATGCACCACAAACATCGAACGACAGTTCTTCTCGGAATCTTCAGTTTTTCGTTTTTATAATCCGCGAAACAGCAGGCAATGATCATCTCCGTGCCAAAAAGTTCTGCGAAACTACAGTATACTCCGACGTTGAAGTCAGTTCTTGCCGCGTCTGGCAAATATGCACTTCCGTTCCGGAGTATTAGAATATTTACAGAGACCGAGGCGAACTTTAGAAATTATTCTATCGAGTTTGAGAAATCTTGAATGAAGATAAACAGAAATTCCTGGAATCTCGGATAAGCGAAAAATTATTCATATTCTTAACTCGTTCGGTATATACGTGCTTATGCATGTATGTATGTATGTGTGTACACATCCGCTTGTCAATAAGGGTGAGAGAGTGAAACAGAGATGTTTCTCTCTGACGCGTGTTTCTAACTAGTTTTCTATCAATTGAACATTTTTAAATGATAAATACCGATTGCAAGATAAACCAATTATCGTTGGTCTTTCTCGTGATAGTGATAAACCTCGCAAACAGTCGTAGATAGCTCGTCCGCGATAAAATCGAAAACAACGTGTTCCGGCAATATTTCAGGTATTAAATCACGCGCCGAAGAACGATGAAAATATATTCGCGAAAGTACGTGTCTTGTTTTATTTTGTTTACGAGACACAGTGAATTTTACGTTGTAATAATTATAAAATTCTGCTGCATAACCTGGCACAACACTCACCCCCATTTAAATTCATCGAATTTTTATTTGCAAAAATACTTGAACTCCATTGTGCACGCGAACTCCATTGAAATGTTAAAATACTTCGATGCAAAATTGAACAAGGCTTTGAATAAATTCCGGGAATATCAAGCGGTATTGGAAGAATAATCAGTGATGATTGGAGGGTAAATGCGGAAAAAAAAAAAAGAAAAAAAGAGAAGGAAAATAATGTAATGTACAAAAATGTGGAGTGCACGTGAAGTATCTAAAGTGAAGCGTTTTTGCTGCAATATTTGATTGATGGAAGAAATCTCTGCTTAGGTTCTAATTTTTTTTTTAGTGACGTTTGCACAGTGAAAAGAAAATTAGCGAATTTCCGACCTGACTGGCAACAAAAGTTTCTTCGCCGAACATTTTTTTTTTACTAAACTATTGCAATGACAATATTCAGAAATGTCATTCTTTTGTAACTTTCCCATCATCTCCAGGATAAATAATTATGCATTTTGGATTCCTTGAAACGTGTAGTATCTTTTAAAAGAAACCGAATTTAATGTAGAATCTTTAGAAAAACTTTTGTCGTCAATTTTTACTTTTTACTTTTCCTTTGACGAACATCTGCAATCTTAACAATCAGACGCACAATTACAGAACATAAACATTTTATAGAAGAAAATTAGGACACAGGTACAGACGAACTTTTTTCATTATTTTTATCTGCTGTATAAATCATTGGGATACATACCCTGTATAGTTTTCTCGGAGCCAACGTTATTCTAGCTTATCATTGTTGAAAAAAGTCAGCGTAAGAATGTATCACGTCTGTTTGTCTAATTATGGCCCGTTTGATAAATCGACTGGATGACGAACGTAGAAAAAGATAGTAGTAAGGCGTTTCTTGCAACGGTAATCCAAATTCCAAACATTTCCCCGAAAAGTTTCGTCCTATTTCTCCGTTCCTCGCTTCGTCATCTTCCAAACTTTCTCTCTGACGTTCCTCTATCACGTTCGAGCAACGGCACGACAAGTCTCAAGGAAAATCAAATGGTTGGGAACCGCGTTACGCCGCGCTTCGGTTCTCTTGACCTCGTCGTGGCGAAAAGACGAACGCGTGGTGGAACACGCTTTTATTCCAATTCGCGCAATATCCGAGCACTTTACGGGCGGAACTTTACTTATCAACAATCGTCGAGAAACATAGTTTGTACAATAAGAATCGAAGGAACTATGATAAAAAAATCTCAACGTGACTTTGGAGCGTGGGTGTCCGCGTAATCTAAAAGTCCAAAATATATATAAATAATGAATAATAAACGCAGAAAGAAATTTGTTTGTTTTTTTTTTTTTTTTTTTTTTGGTCGTATAACATGTTTAGATGGAACTTATTACGTCGTCAATAATTTTTGATCAAGTTTGTCTCTTTTGTAGAGACAAATTATGCACGTTCGAATTATTCGAACGACATCGGAGGAAGTTGTTTGAATTTTCTCTTTGATCTGATTAAATATGATAAACGATACCTTTCTTTTTTTTTTTTTTTTTTTTCCAAGTATCATTTCGTGTTAGTGACAATTTGATTTCACTGTCAGTGCAGAATTATTCAAGTGACATCGGAGAAAGTTCGAACAATTTCCTATTCTAATCACACGCTCGACATTTCAAGGTAGTCCCCGCTCATTAACACGCGGAAATTGCTAGATTAAAGATCCCGCATAACTCATTTTCCTCTATCACTGACGCGAGTTCGTTAAATTGTACAACTTGCTTGCTAATAGAATGTTAGTAACAGAAATCTCGAACATCAGTGCTGAATTAATATTCACGGAACAGAACGTCTGCCTTTAAATCTCGAATTAAAGTTCGAAACATTGTTTCTAATAAACTATCACTATATGTCTAATTACGTAGAACTTTTTTTTTTTAATCAATTACTTATTTTCCAATTTTTTAATCAATTATTTATTCTAAATATCGAGATCGAGAGTTATTATCGTCTTATTCGGACGAGAACTTGATCGCAATATTCTTAAACTTCTTTTCGCTGTTCCTTTCACATTACTAAGAAAATATGTGAAAACTGAATTTTTCTGAACAAATTAACATTTAAATGTACATTAAGTTACGATCTTTTTGTTGTAACAGAAGTAGTAAGTGAATTTCTTTTTTTCATTAATCTCTTAGATAATTAATCTCTTTTCTTTAATCATTAAATTATAAGAACAGAGTGACTCTCAATTTTTTTTTTTCTGTGGAATGATTATGTGGACATATCGATTTGTCATTTAACTGCCATTGTTAATTATCATTCGAGATTTCTAAAAGATGAAAGTACATTCCTCTAAATCCCATTGGATCAAGTCGAACAGTGCAAGGGAAAAAAAAGATACAAAACGATAGAAAAACTATAAAATAAATGTTTAACATTCGAACTACGGAGGACTAAAGTCAACAGAAATTGAATCAAAAAAATTAGAATGCAATATGATAGAAAAACTATAAAATAAATGTTTAACATTCGAACTACCGAGGACTAAAGTCAATAAAAATTGAGTCAAAAAAATTAGAATGCAATATGATAGAAAAACTATAAAATAAATGTTTAACATTCGAACTACGGAGGACTAAAGTCAACAGAAATTGAGTCAAAAAAATTAAAATACAATATGATAGAAAAACTATAAAATAAATGTTTAACATTCGAACTACGGAGGACTAAAATCAATAGAAATTGAATCAAAAAAATTAGAATGCAATATGATAGAAAAACTATAAAATAAATGTTTAACATTCGAACTACGGAGGACTAAAGTCAATAGAAATTGAATAAAAAAAATTAGAATGCAATATGATAGAAAAACTATAAAATAAATGTTTAACATTCGAACTACGAAGGACTAAAGTCAATAGAAATTGAGTCAAAAAAATTAGAATGTAAAGAACATGAAAGGATTTATAATAACGATAATACGAACACACGAACTTTTATTCATGTATTTTACAAAAACCACTCGAACTTCTAAAAAATGTAACATTGCAAATCCGCTGAAAAAAAAAATTACTCTGAAAAATTTATAAATTGGTCACTTCGACTACTCTAGTAGTTCTAGTGTTAAACCAAGTTGGCGAGCTAATCGAAGAGATCGTTCGGCCCGTCTGAAATCGTTTTCGCGCGTCGATTTCACTGTCAACGGGGCGATAATGCCGCCTCTCTAGCCCTTGTCGCTAAAATCGGCAAGTTGATGGCTATTCACCGCGCTAAATTTAGCAGGAATTTTGTATAAATAGTGCGTAACCATTGCAGAAATGTTTCGAAAACGTAAACAGCATACCTGGCTGTCGTCAAACTCGTGGATTTGTGACCGGCCTAATAACGATTGTCACGACGCACGGCCGTGATGCGTTTCGCGGGTTCATGCGAAATCGTCACCCACGTTTCCGATTAAATTTACACACGATGGCCCACGCTTCTCCACTGGGTCCTTTCACTCGACAATCGAAACGTTTGTCAAACGATTTATTTGGTCTCGCAATTCGCGTTTCAGAATTCGCCAGTGGGAACACACCGTCGACTGTAGCTGTATATAACGAATCGAGTCCCAAGCAAGTGGGAACGTTGAACGAACAGACAAGAAAAAACGAGAAGATATCATTGAAAGGGATCAAAGGTAAAGGAAAAGCGATGTTCACGACGGTGATTTTTGCACTGAACACACTGTGGATGGTGTGTGAAGCAGTACCGTTGCTTGATATGAGAAACAGCTTGGAACAGGACGCATTGGACGCGATAGTGTCTTGTTCGTCGAATGAAGACTGTTGGAATTGGCTGTCGGTACAGGTTCACAAAAATGTCCCCTTGATCTCAAGGAGTCAGAATCTTCCCGCATCAAGGTAGGTGATCCACTTTTCATTGTCTCCATTGTTCATACGTTGTTCCGCAGAGAAACGTGGCTAAGAAGTAATACTGTTTACGGATTGTAGAATGAACATACGACGAGAAGCTTCAAACTTAGATCCGAACGCGATAATAGAAACGTGGGATGACAATTCGGTAACTACCAAGCAAATTGGGAACAGATTGTCGAAAAAGGATGCTGTTATGTCACGTAGCTGGGGTGCCGGTGGCATGCCCTTCTCTGTCCTATATATGAATCCACACGGTCCTCGTGGAAACCACGCCAGTAAGGAAATATTAAACAAGAACGAAAATGATAATACATTACCCCGTACAAGTACAGATACACATGGTACATGTTATGTTAAGGTACTTCTCAACAACAAGAACTGGGAAGAACTGAAAGTACAACACCCATAATGCACCCAAACAAACGCATTGCTTTACGTAACGGAAGTTCCACGCAACCAAAAAGACAATACTCGATAATACCACAGTTTTTTAGATCATACGGATGGGTTCCGTTTGGCAAATGAAAAGAATCTGCTCTACTCACACAACATCACTACAACTGCAATACTGATCTCATAATTTTACTATACCGAGAAATCAACTGTAGAGATATTTAGTTATATCTAGTTATAACTGAGCGTCATATTTTGGATAAATGACAATCTGAAAATAACTTCTTCAAATTGTTCGTTATCTGTTTATACGTACTTTTGAAATATTTTCTTCAAGTTTTTAATTTGATTTACTAAAGAGTTTCTTAACTTTTGTTAACAATAAGTAATTATTTAAGAAATCGCCTACTTCTTTAAATTTTCGTTAAAGCTTCAGTTTCGAAAGTTGAAATTTTACTACTTCTTTTGGTGACTCTACCTCATTACGTACAAAATTACCATTCTTTTTTGCTTACACGATTCAAAAACACAATAAAATAAATTTTTACTTTCTACTTAAAAGGAAAATTTATGTTTAGCTACGTTTGGTTGTATTAAAATCAATTTCTCTACACGTATATTTAAAAACATAATCTAATTTAAGTTGTTATAATAAGAAATTATTTAACTTACCATTCATTTCTTTCATTGCTTTGATGAAGTCTTGTGGGTCTTTGAACGATACAAATCCAAATCCTTTCGTTTTGTTTGTTCTTTTGTCTCTAACTACTTTTGCTTTTTGAAAGCTTGGATACTTTCCAAAGACTCTCACCAACATTTCATCCGTGACGTCGTTTCCCAAATCTCCGCAAAATATTCTGAAATCATCTGTAATACAAAAAAAAAAAATATGTAAAATATATTTAAAGCAAAATAAAATTTACAAAGGATGTAAACATGAATAGATAATTACCGTCATCCCATTCTAGCAGAGAAGGATCCTCCCATATTTGTCCACCAGCCATTCGTACAATCTTCTTATTTTTCTTTCCTTTACCCTTGGGATGAGTCTCTTCAGCACTAGCATTAGCCATAGTAGAACTTGCTTTACCTTGGCTAATAGCTAATTCTGCTGCAGTACTAACACCTTTCACCTTGGGTTTCTTTTTAGTGTCATCTTCTGGAATCTTTGTATTGATAATCTGTTCAATAATTTCGGGATGAATCATTGGTGTCGACGTAGATTCATAAGTTTTTGGAGTAGCACTTAAACAAGGGTCCACCATGTTTGGTAAGTATGGATTACTTATTTGCGCAGGCGATGAATACGTCGTAATAGAGGGGACAGCACCTAAGTAAAATAATGTTTCATCAATAAACTACTTGCCATGAATATATTCATAAGATATAAAAAAATTATATGCATAATTATTTACCTTGTCTTGCTACTTGTTGTGGAATTAACATTGGCGGCGGTGGAGGTGGAGGAGGTGGTGGTGGTGGCGGTGGTGGAAATCCAATTATCGGAGGAAAAGCTAAACTAGCTGCTGCTGCTGCAACAACCGGTGTTGGAAGTTCATGCTGCTCCAACTGTCTAGCCACTTGATTGTAAGTATTCGCACCAATTACTGGCCTGACCATTGGTGTAACCAATTGACTACCAATCTCAGCCTCAAATCTATAAAATAGTACAAATTTATGATCAATTAATGCCATTTGTATTCTGAATATAAATTCTCAATGATAAATTTGTACAAGAACTTATTTGTTTTATAAAAAAATTAGTCACTTGGAACGTAAGAACGTAACCTAGATAATTAATTGCACGATAGAAAGTAAGTCAATAAAATGAAACTGTAGTATAAATAGGTTAAGAACATTGTGTGTGTTTATAACTATTACATACCTATTCATCTCATCTTCCATTTGACGTAATTTATCGTCCATTTTGGTGTGCTTGTTATTTTTTAACTTCTTCAATGTAAATACACGCACTAAAATAACAAAATAACAATTGTACAAGCCAAAATGAACATTCGAACTACTCAGCTTCGACCCGAAAACTTTTGTTTTGAAGATCACTTCATACTATCGCCAACATTAAGATATATACGAAAACAATTCAGTATTACCAACAAAGTATACAAAAAAGAATATTTTATATTTTATTATAAATATTATTTAATTTATCAAATTTGATAGAACGTTAAAAAAAGACTAGCACAACATTTTAATTCAAAACAGAGAAAATATACGAAATAACTTTTGAAAATCTATAATTCGATAGTCGGTAATTCACACTTTATTACGTTGGCAACAGTTGATTGTATGATACGAGCTTATGTGTTGAATGTGCGTCTGGTATAATCATGTACAAAAGTGCTATTTTTCTACTTTTCATTATTGTCAGCACATCGAATAAGTATGTAACTGCCGAAAATGACGAGGATACGTCGACAGATCTGTACGTTATCGAAGGAAAGGTGTTCCCTTGGGAAAATGGTGCATCAAATGGCTGGCAGTTAATGACTCACGTCATGGCTAACGGTGGAGAACATTATGGTTTCTTAAGGTAAATTTATGTTAGATATTTCTGATTAAAACTTAACAAGTTTTCACTTGTGTGCGAAAAGCAATAAATTTTTCTTTTTTATCAGTCACGGAGAATGTATGAAGCAACATTGACTTCAACTTTATATAGGTTAGGTTTTTTTTGTACTTTACACATTTAATACTTTCAGGGAAGATGGAACATTCATTATATCAAACGTACCTTCAGGATCATATATAATCGAGGTTGTAAATCCAAACTGTGTTTATGAACCTGTCAGAGTAGAGATTAACTCAAAAGGGAAATTCAGAGCAAGGAAAGTTAATTTGATACAAACGTCTCAAGTAATACAAGTTCCGTATCCATTAAAAATGAGACCACTCACACCATTCCGTTATTTCCAAGTTAGAGAACAGTGGAGAGTAACAGACTTTTTATTCAATCCTATGGTATGGAATATTATTGTACATATGAATTTACATTTGTGTAAAAGAAATAAAATCACTTTCTTATATTTTTGCAGGTTTTGATGATGATATTACCATTATTGCTAATTATGATTATACCAAAAATAATGAACGATCCTGAAACCAGGAAGGTTGGTAAATAAATTCAATAATTACTTATAAAATTAAGTTTCATTGTATAATGTTGAATTTATAACTCAAATGTGTTATTTACATCTTTTTCAGGAGATGGAACAACTAAATAATTTTACCAATTACAATATGCCAGAAATGTCTGAAGTAATAACATCGTTTTTGTCTGGTGGAGAAAAACAAAAATCAAAAGCAGTGAAAGCTGCAAAAAAGAGACAATGATTAAAACCTTTATAGGATGTGTATTTGCACTCTAATTAATTACAATTTTTAGAAGAAACGCGAATCTTTTTTTCCACCTTTTTATTACATTTATTACATTTGAAAAAATAATAGTAAATTCTAAAATATTCAACATATAATTAAACGTATTGATATTATGTTAAAATAACTTATTGTAAATTATGATTTTATAGATGGCTATTCAGAAATTTAAAAAAGAAAGAATAAAATGCATTTTAGTGAATGTCAATACAGTAAACGTTTGATGTTTTTCATATCAAATCTATAACTTTGTAAATTATTGCCACTTATATTCAGTGTATATATTTATAATTATTTTATTATTTTTTCTTTTATGTATTGCTGTTTAGAAACATCTGTAAAGAAATAATTTAAATATTATATATAATATTATATGAACGTAAAGCAATTTTTAACCATAATATCAATCAATATTTAACAAAATATATTTGTAACTTAAAAAATGAACATTCTGGAATTACAGGTATACCATTGTTTTATCAACTCTAGAAAAAATTATAATATTTTACTTCATTTAATAAATATATTAAAAAAAAATTTTTATTTTCAAATATTTTGTATCACAGATCATTTTTTTTATGGCTTCTTAATCATTTGATATTGAATAATTAAATGTTTAAATTTCTAATTTGCAACATACGTTCTCTAGCTGCTTTAAACTGTTCAAAAATATTGTCTATATTAGTCATAAGTTTATCTGTACTCAGTCTTTGAAAATAATCTAACTGATCACCATGCTTAATTGAACTATGAGTTTGATGAATAATATTCACGATTAACTTTATGTAACCACTTGATGTAACGTTTAAGTGTGACTTATTCAACATTTTATTCTCATATCCTTTTGGAATACTGCAATAAGTTATATCTTCCAGTTCGTAAGTACTGCCTGTAAAAAATCTTCTAAGAGTGTTAATGATACTTCCTGTTGGTCGCCAAGTTGGAATGTTGAATTTATATAAACCAGGTAGTACAGGTAAAGGTATCATAGCGTAACCTTCTGTGCGATATCTGAAATTTTTAATTGTTAAATAATGTGTTTACCGTCATTCATAATATGAAGAGTTTTAATTTACCTAAACCAGCTGTCAAGTGATGTAACTGATAGTAATAATCGTGGCCAAGATAATAAAACAGTGTTCGCATCAAGCATGACTATAGATTGAAAATCTAATGACATTTCAGTTGCATAACTAAAATATGCCGAATTATTTTTTAAATTACATCTCTGAGTTCTTCCGAACAATCTATCAATTTGATTTGTACTCCAATGTTCTGGCAAATCAACATAATAGGAAATGCAAAGTCCATCAAAAAAGAAATCATGAGCTGACAAAATGTCCAATTTTATAAAAAATTTATATACATTTGGTGATACTAACTGGAAACTGTGAAATATTTCTACTCCTCTATGTTTCAGACGTTCCTTAATTTCCTGAAACATAAAAAACAAAATGGTAGTAATTTTGCATATTTTATTAAAAAATTAATAATTTTAAAATAATAATGACTTTTATATAGTATTATTTTTATATAACATTTTTAATATTAAATTTATATAGTATTTTTAAATATTTTTTAAATAATATTTTTAATCATTTTTCAAACAGTTTTATCATAAAAGAAAAACATTTTGTTTTTTTTTTTTTATATATAAGAGGATATCTTAGATAATATACCACACGATCGTGATAATCCGAAACTGTGTGAAAGTAACTTTTGCGTTTAAATGACTACTGCTCCATCATGTATGTACATATAAACATATAGATATATGTATGTGTTTTTGTGGGTAAATACGTAGGTGAATACGTGTGGGTGATACGTATGAACGTTTTCAAGCAACCAACCATTCACTGCCATAAGATTCAGTTGGGTTCGAGACTACACCGGCTTAACATATTCTTTATCATTCTCACATATTCAGAATATTTTAGCTAATAAATTTTGATTGTATCGTAAAATGATCGAAAGTATAGAATCAAATATGAAGACAATCACATTTACCGAGTGTGTTTCAACCAAGTGTAAAATAAAACAACTAAAATCAATTTAGTATGACACATGCTCAATTATGAAAAATTATTGGTGTTAGTGATTAGTTTTCGCTGAATTCAAGAAATATGTTCTACCCTCAAAGAATGATGAGACAAATCTCTGAAATCTCCTATGTTGGGTATGCATATACATTTTATTGTATCTTCGTACAATTGAAATAATTACTAATAAAATTTTTTAATTTATTACTAATATATTACTAATAAACTTTCTTTAAAATTACTTTGATGATATGTGATACGACTAATGCACTTCGACTTTATAATTTTATAATTTTGGATTAATGTTAATATAATTAAAAATGTAATAGTACTTTTTCCTTTTTAAACATGCATCTTGAAATACATTGAGACTTAAGAAAAGACAGTATTTAAATAATTCAAATAGATTCAAACAAAAATATGTTCAAATCAAATTATCATGAGAAAATTCGAATTAACATTAATTAATTTTTCGATTCAATGTTGATTCTCAATTTATTTGCAGGATTAAATTAAAAATATAACGATAATTCTAATTGTCGAATTAATTAGGAACGTATAAATTAAAAGGGAACAACATTTAAATGCGCAACATGTTGTAACCAGTGCGAATACATACGTACATATATATGCATACATATACATACTCACTTTTCGCGATTCATTTTGTTGTTGCTGTAATTCCAATGACGATTGTTTCTCGGAAACATGCTCCAGCCAATAATTAAATCGAATACCGCTGGAATTCGTTATAGTATAACAATGGTCGTCCGTGAAGTCAGGATCCACCGTTAAAATTTTATTCAGTCCATTGTACGTAATCGCGAGTAACACTATTTCCGTATCCTCGTCGGTGCTTCTTAAAACTTTATCTTGTTGAGATAAATCAACCATGACATACATCGTGGAACGTTCCATATAGAGATAATGATTCGTTCGAATCCTTGTTTCGTCAGGTGCATCGTCGACGACCGTTTTGTTGTGCCTTTCAGGGAACGGTTTGCGATTTTGCAAGGCCGGTAACGCCGTTTGGTTCTTAATTGCCAATTTTGTCTTATAACGTTTCGTTAACAATTCATCGCCCAGATAATACGAATCGTTCTGAGTGTAGGTATAAAGTTGAGAACCCTCGATGCTCCTCTCCTTGATTTGCCGATAATATACTTTCTGACATTCGGTCAGGCAATTCGTCTCCTCGCTGTAGAAACTTACTTCGAACGGGCTGAATACTTTTTCCTGCCAGCCAAAAATACGATCCTCCTCCTCGAGGAAATTCGAGTCCCTGGTATCCCCTTCATTCTCGAGCAGTTCTGCAAGCAGAGGCCTTTGCTGCACGATTTTGACTCTGTAACAATAAACATGCGGAAGATAAATAATCTAGAAGCTGGAAACAATCAGATGGCTGCCAGATGGCCGAAGTTCTAATTCTATCGACACATCTGATACAGATGTGTTTCGGCGGGCCAAAATATCACAATTGATCTAATGATCGGCATCTTAATCTCACAATGATGTATCAGTAGACTTTCTTTTTGTTTTTTTACAAGACCTCAATAGAATTAATTGTATGTTTCAATATATACTACAACTGACAGGAAAAGGAACGACGAACGATAGTTCTATGATTTCTTTTTCCCATTTGCAAAACTTCATGGCACGTTACAACGACAAATGAAACCTGGAGTTGAAACCTGTGTTACCTTATTTTGAAGTTATTTATAGGTTCTTTGACTTTGTAATTGACGGCTATTTTTTGCTTCCGTATTTTATTTGCCATTTTTTGTTTTTACCATCGGTTAATCGACTGAAGATCCATCTCGTGAACAAAAGAACATTTGGGTGCCAGGTAAAAAGACCAACTGACGGGAAACCATCGTGCACGTACCGACAATCGCATACGAAAGTATCCTATTGATTCCTTCGTTGCTTGGCAACAGGTGTGTCAACGTGAATACACGCGTACAATTGAAAGTTGTACATGGGTTTTATGGTTGGCTCTGCACCCTTTTGTTACGACTATAGCGAATCGCTTCTGACATAAAAATAACATGCAGTTGTAAGAGTAAGAACTCACAACCCGTTGAGTCAGCTTTTTAAGACAAAACACATATCTCATAGATATGTTTCGCAAGTGATTAAACATCAAACGAGTTGTGTACATAGGTATATATACTATGTACATAGGTGTATTTCTACAAAAGACTTTAATTGCGTTTAAAAAGCATTAGTTTTCAATTGTAAGATTTTGAATAGCAGAAAAAAAAAATGAATGAGATTTTATTTATATTATCTTAACGATGTATTAATAAATGATTTTGCAAAACTTTTAATTTAAATGTGTATATAACTTAGTTGAAGTCAAACGTTTCGCGATTTCACTCCATTACATTCTGAATAATTGTTGATACTGAATGCAATTTTAGACTTCATTAATAATCTTCTTGATAGAACCAAGGTATACGCATCCAAGTTATCTACGTATGTATATACGCGAATTTCGTGATTCACTAAGAAAATTGAGTGAATCATCAATGAGGATACTTTTGTTATTGCAACACTGATACATATGAAATATCAAGTTTTCTTAAAAAAAAAAAAGGAGTGATTTATGTTATAATGAAAAATTAGATTTGTAATTTCACCATCGATAAAAAGTACGTTTTCCCTAAATGTACGAACACAGGTAGAACTGTATTGTTATCTAAATAAAGAAACAATTACAACATTCCACCGCAGTATATCTTACGGTACTTTCTATTCGTGCGTTGCCTGGGCCGTTTTAAGTTCACCTGTTGCTGCGACGCTGGCGACTTTCAACCGTACAGTCTTCAAAACGTGTTCTATTGTAGCTAATGAGACACGAGTCTTCGTACTATAACACTAACCGATCACAGTAATGGGGAGTTCCGTTCGAAAATAATCTAAACTATCCGACACTACCGATTAAGATTCTTGTTGACTGTATTAAGGTATTAAGATTAATGGTACTTTTCAAAATAAATGAAACGTACCTATACATTACAATGTGTGTATAGAATATACATTGAATTGTATGTACATATACAATATGCCTGTGATTTGTCTAATACTTAAATCTTTGCCGATATTCCGGATAACGCATCGATCTGATAAGATAAACTAAATGTGTGTCATTCGTGTAAATAATGTATGAAACATTACTCTGTAATAACTAAAGAATTTAGTAGATCGTGTGCTGTAGAAGTAGACATAATTTACGTCATTTGCGTATGTTTAATACACAATTTAGCTATTAATCAAACACAGATATTAAAGATATTTAAATATTCATTACACACAATTATTTTCTCTTGTATTAGATGTTCCAAGTACACTTTTTCTACTAATTTCAATAATGGCAAATTTACATTTTAAAGGACTAATTTGGTTGAAATAAGGATAGTTGGATAGTGAAATTAAGTTAATATTTGTAATCACATGTTAATCTTGTGTATTTATATTAAATTTTATTTTGCATTTTTGCAGAGGTTTCAAATTAATAAGAATGTCAAGCAATCAAGGAGGAGAATCTGGTATAACAATACCGCTGCAATATAATAATTCTGTAAGAATTCATCTTTTCTGTGTATAATTTTCATTATAGTGTCCCATAACCTTTACAAACATCATATATTATAAATTTCATGAAAAGCGTATGATAATTTTGGTATTTTCAGCATTGGAAATCTATATTTGAGAAATATGATCTGGACGGTGATGGGAAAATCTCTTATCAAGAATTGAGAGCTATGATACGCAGTTCTAGTTATTCTAATGATATTCCAACCAGGGTTGTTCATACAATCATGCGTAAGGCAGATCTAGATGATTCAGGATACTTGGATTATCCAGAATTTATAGCTATGGTATTTTCATGTTTTGTTACTTTTATTGCAATTCTGTTTCATTTTAAAATAAAATAATATTTATGTCTTTTATTTGACACATGATCATTTTCATCATTATTTTATATACTGATAAAAAGATATTTCTTAATAGATTAACAATTATCACTAATTAAATCAGTTGAATTTGTTTAATTGTAAAATCCATTTTACCTCCTTTAGAGATTAGTTCATAATAACATTTATTATTCAATGTGAAACTAATAGACAAACTCTATATTTCTTTTTAGATTCACAGGAAAGATATGCAAGGTGTTTTTGGCCATCTTGTACAGAGATATGTACAATCCATGGTTCCACAAAGACCAACTACCTTCGAAGTAGCAAGATCTAGTGACATCCCTGATGGACAATATGAGGAAGAATATAGTTGTAAACCTCCAGCATTAGCAATGATAATTATATCTATATTAGAAATTACTTTATTTTTATATGATGTAATTGTACACAAATCACCTTCGGTTGAAGGACCAGCAGCTACATTATTTATTTATAATCCACATAAAAGATACGAAGCATGGAGGTATTTAACATATATGTTTGTACATGTGGGGTACGTATTTCTCTTTAATTGTATATGTAACCACATTTATGTGATCAAATGATTAAAATACTTTCCTTTATACAGTGTATTTCATCTAGTGGTAAACCTACTTGTGCAAATAATGCTTGGTATTCCATTGGAGATGGTACACAAATGGTGGAGAGTATTGATTATATATATAGCAGGAGTTATAGCAGGATCACTTGGTACCTCTGTATCAGATCCCACAGTATATTTGGCGGGAGCATCAGGTGGTGTATATGCATTAATTACTGCTCATGTAGCAACCATTGTAATGAATTGGTCGCAAATGGAATTTGCTATCTTACAATTATTAGTATTCCTTGTTGTGACAGTTGTTGATATCAGTCAAGCAATATATAACCGTTATGTGTTAGAAGCCAACGACCAAGTTGGATACGTTGCTCATTTTGCTGGTGCCATTGCGGGCCTACTCGTAGGTATAAACGTACTTCGTAATCTCGAAGTGAAAACATGGGAAAAAGTTGTGTGGTGGGCCAGTATTATTACGTACACCATACTTATGACAGCTGCTATTTTGTGGAATATTTTGTATACATCTTATTACGATTAATTGGCTTTCAAATATTTATTTTTTACTATTGCGTTTCCTAACGGCAATCAAAGTTTATAATCTTGCCACTAAACAGTGAAATCTTTTCTACAAGAGCAGCTAAATAAACAGGGTGCTAATTTTAGTACACTTGTGTATACCTAAACTGAACATTAATATATTGCATACTGTGATATAGAAAATCTCTATATTTTGCACAAAAGAAATAACTATATAAAGACGGCAATGACAAATAATCTTATAACATATTTTTATAATAATAAATTCAGTCACAATCCTTCAAACATAAAATATTGCATCCTATAAATAAGTCGTAAAACGATAATTGCAATATAATATCATTATAGCGCATTGTTTTTTAGTGTTTGAATACATATTAGAGTAATATTTTATTACTCATAGCATTTAATTTTAAAGAAATAAGTTTTATTATTATTATAATATATGTAAAGTATTATTGACATATATATAAAAATACTGTTACTGGACATTTCTCTTCGATGGTAATTTTTATATGATAAGTCATTGTGCTTCGTTATATCATGTATCTATTTATAATTCACTATATCATGTACCTGATTTGCAAACTATTATTATGTTACATAACTAATTTGACTAATTTGACTTATATATACATATAAGATATATAAAAACTTTCACAAACTTGAAATTTTAATTGTGAAACTGATTGGTGACAAAGTAAAGTTATTTCTTTAAAACTTAGAAAATAGAACAAGAATAAAATGCTTTTCAAGTACAAAATGGAAGTTTCAGGTGTTCTGGTTTAATACTAAAATTTATTTAAAAACGCACTACTTCAGTTTTAAGAAAATAAACATATTGAAATTTAACTGCTCAGTTCATAATTAAATATTCTTTCCTAACGTACAGGGTTACAGTGACTATTTATAATTTAATTTATCAGTAACTATTTTAAATTTTGGCAAAATGTTCATGCCCTACAAGTATATTTCAAAAGATACCCGTGAATCGTGAGGTACAATCATTGAAAACAGTAGTAAAAGCAATAGAATTTATAATAATTATTATGCACAATTATATCTATAGTAATATTATGCACAATTATATTATAATAATTATTAAGATCAGTATATACAAAGAAAATGCAAGTATATTAATTTTTTTTTTATTTTATCGAATAAAATCTTTAATTTATTTATTTTTTTCATATTTTTATCACATACATATAATACTAATCGTATTTTTAAGATTTAAATATCCGAAACGCGTACAAAGTGAGAACATGATATATAATGCAATGAAAGTGTGAAAGATAATATAAGTTCTTTATTTTTGTACTTTCGTATTAAGAATTAAATAATAAACAAATTTGGAATTAGACTATTCTCAGGAGTAATGAAGTACACATAAAAGAAAAAAATGCAAACCAAACTGAATGGTTAGTTTAAGAACTTCATTATAGAAGATGTAATCAATACGATAATTAAAGTAAAGTTGTTGCTTCAAAAATGCATGTTATATATTATTTGTAACGAGATGATCTCAATAGACAGGGTAATTCGAAAGAAAACTGAGAGTAAAATGAACAAAAATTATCATTGCAATAAATTTGATCAAACAGTAAAAATAATTTATCAAGGAATTTCAACTTTATTTGTTAATCGTGTTTATATGATTTTTCATTTGTAAGTGCTTCTTATGTATTATCTTGTGTATGTAAGTTTTGTAATAAATATCAAATATTAAGTAAAAGAATGTATGTATTATTGTAAAAAGTATGTCTGTATTATTGTATAAAATTAATATTTATTTACGTATAGTATCGCTCATAATTAATCGAATAATTTCAAAATATTGTGCAAATAGGAAGACTTTTAAGTATATTTTTTAATATACTATTAACTTGACAGAAATGTTAGGTAATGTTGCTAGTAATAATGAAATGGAAAAGGAAAGAAAAGACAGCATAGGAAGAATTTTGGTATTTATAAAAATTTAATTAATAATTTCAAATAACAAAATAAATCACTATTGTAATTTCATAGACATCAATGTGTTGAATTCTTCTGAATAAATTTCAAATTGGTCTATGATTTCTTACTCTTATTCGTTACTGTAAACTGAAGTTGTTAAATCATCGAACAATAAACAGATTAATTATAATATTCTCATTATAAAAATAATTATGAGCGATACTAGATTTGTTTAATCTAGCATAATTGATAACTCAATGCGATGACAAGGGAACAATTTGTTATTTGCATATTTTCCACACGTACTGTATAAAATGGAACAGAGTAATCAAACTATTAATTAATCCTCGCTTGAAATGGATATTATTTTGACATTAAAATACAGAGATAGTCGTTAAGTTGTCTCGTTTGTTCGATAAATAGTTTCTATCTTAATAGTAAGTACCATCATTTTGGACAGGTACGATTATTTTCTATATGTATATATATATTTCTTCAGTCAGTATGTATTACGATTTATTTATCAATAAAAAAAAAGAACGATGTATCTCCTTAGATCTTATTTAAATAATTGACTGTACAATGAAACCACTATATATATTTTTTTTATTTATTTCGAAAGAAGAATACTTATCGAATATCAAAAAATCAGTGCTTTTTTTCACTATGCGAAACTTACATAAATTACCAATGACTCATTGGAAGTAAATATCTTCTCGTTGTGCTCCTTGTTTAACAGGGAACTAAAACGACAAACAACAAAAAGATAAAATATAAATAAATCTTATCGATAACAAAGGCTTGATTCACTCTAACTAAATATTTTGATATAATCTGTGTGAATTTGTGAATTCTTAACTTTCAATTTTATCATATTAATCTACCAGGAACTTGAAATTTCATACGGCACTGAACGCGTCTTGGGGAGAGAAAAAAGGGGGCACATTATATGTACGCTCTGTATATCCACGATCGGCTACGATAAAAACTATTGTAGTTCACGGAGACAAGAGTCAAAAGGGGTGCTCGTTATTATAACGGAGGTGATTTTTATTTCAACAAAAATAACAATTTACATTGAACTGTTTTGATAATAATATTATCGTGTATGCTACACCTGTAGTTTACTGTAGGCGTGGTATGCTCTCGCTCGCTATTAATTGTAGTTAATTTATTTGAATTAATTCGCATTAATAGCGGGTTCGTAGGTAATATCGCTTCTTAGCCTTTTTTTTTTATTTTTTATTTAATTATTATTATTTCACTTCTCCATTCTCTTTCAGTTTTTTTCTTTCGCTTTTTTCCTCTTTCCTCTCTCTCACTCTCACTCTCATTCTCACTCTCTCTCTCTCTCTCCCTTTCTCTCTTACACTCTCTCTCACTCTCTCTCTCTTTAAATCCCGTTTCATTTACTTCTTTGTTTCCTCGTAAGTTTAAGTCGCGTTTTGCACGACTGCATCATAAGCATTATCATCGTCGTCATCATTATTATTATGATACAATATCTTTTTTTTTTTTTTTTAGGAGGGAGCTGAATACCTCGGCATACTTCTTTCCACTTCGTTTCATCTTCTTTTTCTCCTTTACCTATGTACAGACTTCTTTGTATGAAAAAGGACCGGTCGATAAATGTATCGATTCCCCTTCAGGTTACAAACGATTATAGGTACATACACACGACGTCCTATCGATATTTCAGACATCGTTTCTAGTCTATAGAATAGTCTAGATCTTAGTGATTTGCCTGTCGTGTCAACGATAATATTCATTTTCATTTTTTCTTTTTTTGTATTTTTTATTTTTTCTTTTTTCTTTTTTTGTTCTCTTTTATCGTGTCTGCGTGTTCTCTCGCGTACGCGTTCTTATTCTTGCTCGACTTTGTCTTACGATACTACAAAGTACCTAAAAAAGAAGGCTGCCATTGTCGTACTCCGCTTTCTAACTCCATTCTAATGTAGGACACACTCGTTTCCGCTATTAATAACCCGAGAGTATCGTTCGACAGTTCGATCTGAGCAAAAACGTTAATCTTGAAAATATTTTTACACGCAATTACACGATGTCGCGTCGCGTTGGCATGTATGTACAAAGATCGACGCATAGATTAAAAGAGCGTTCGCAATAATCTTCCCCAACGCGTGTACGAGTCTCGCAGAAGCTAAATTTACCAATACTACAGCTTTTTATCAGTCCTTTAACTGCATTATCCGAGCGTGCGATTGACGTCCTTGAAAACAGGCAATTTCTATAAATTTGCACAGTTTGCAAGAAGATGGCACAAACAACCAATTCCAGGTAAGTTCCAGCGTAATTTTTCAAAAATAATGCTTTTAATATCAACATTTTTTCAGATGAAATTGATTTTTAGCGTGCTTCTGTGACACTCGTATGTATCTTCTCTGTGTGTATAGACTCGATGCGTATAGTATATAAATACGTACATTTCAGAAGATTTCATACTACGAAGAACTCACGATGGAGCTGTCCATGATGAAGTTCGATAAAACGGCGAGCGAGAAAAGTAAACGCGTTCTCGATCATCTACGTTAAATGCGGCAGAAAGAAAGCAGAGAGACGCCAAGAGCACTCTTCGAGAAGTACAGTCGGGATCACGTGTGATCGCGGTTTAAAAATTGCTGTCGCTCGCACTATATCTTCCTATTTATTCGTTTTATCTTAATTATTCCATTCTCTGTATGTTATCGTTCATTTTATTTATCAATTTTTTTTTTTTTTTAATTTATTGGAAGCATTTAAACACGGTATTCTTCAGGACTCCGATTTTGTACAATTTAAAAACCAGTTTCGTAGTTTCTTTTCGTCTTTTTCTGACATGCTACGATGAGTGTAAAGTTTCATAATACTACGATTTATGTTGATTGTGAATCGCCTTTACGTTTGGCTAAAATAAATGCTTTGTATATCTTATGCGAGGCTGTAGAATTTCCATGGTGTTTCTTTTTTTTTTCTTTTTTTTTTTGTCTGCATGAAATCGAATTTACACGGCACACATATGTTTACACAGGATTCTAACTTTTTTTTGGCCATGGCTTTGTTAGGATATTCCATGGGTATAAATGAGAAACGAGTGTTATGTAGACATACGTTCTTTGAAGCTTTATTAAAAGGTTTTGAGAAATTGATTTATAGTTGCTACGTTATAAGACAAGGATAAGTTCACAATCGATATATAATCATTAATTGTCACTTCAAAATTGTCTACAAAGTTCATTTTATGAATCAATCAGAGTCTTTGTATCAGGTTTTTCTTTAAAGATGCTCACAAAAGTACAACGATATAAAATTGAAGATCTGGAATTTGTAACTATCGTTCTCTTTAGATTTTTGTTTTGATAATATTTTAATAAAGCTTCAGACAATCTATATATTTGTATAACATCATTTTTCCATTTACATCTAGAACATCCTGACAAAGTTTGACTGGCAAAGAGACTTGAACAACCTGTATACTTGTGACCTAACCACACTCTATTTCCGTCACGTAAATTTTTCTCACCACTACCTTTCTTGCGTACAAGACAGATTATCCAAATAATACTGAAAAGATGCTCTCTGATCGACATCATTTACGACGTATCTCATCTTGAACAACGTTTATGCTGTGCACGTTGAACAGAGCGGTGTGTTAAATCACTATCAAATGCTGAGGGAGGTATTCAGATTCACATTTTTTGCTTGACACTCATGATCGAACAAAACGATATTAATCTTGCAACGACACATCGCTACCAATGAAAAGTTCAAATCAAATCCAGAAGAGAGAAACAATTTATATGTATATCGATTTCGTTCGTAGTAGTGTAGACTCGAGTATTTAATATAATTGAAGAATTGAGAATAAATAGTCGATTATCTTTTGACATGACGCTTTGAATAAAAATTAACAACTTAAGAAATTGGAAAGCCTGTCGACGAAAGAGGAATGGCACTACCGTATACACATGTATGTATATTGCAGTCACGAACCAAATTTGCACACTGCCACCGAAGGAAAACAAAGTGCCATTGCAGGGTTAAACCATTGTATAACGGGATATTGTGATAAAGATAACGCCCCGAATTATTTCGAGATGATGATAATAATGGCGATTATAATTTGACACTTGTGTGTTATCAACCAAACGTATAATTCCTTGAACGACACAATCTTATCATAATCACAACAGCACGAGAAAGAACAGTGTGTCGAAATAGCGAATGCATCGATGATCACGTGTTTTCTTAGTATTCGAGATCTTTCAAGACTCCTTTTTTACGTTGTCGTTTAAAAATATGTAAAAATCGCGGCATAAAACGCAGAAGTTCTCTCTTTTTTTTTTTTTTCGAAGTCATAAGTTGAAAAGACACTAACAAACCTTGAGACCACTGGCAAAGCGAAGGTTAATAGTTCGTTTATTTACAGACACGATTTTATCAAACGATTAGTTTGCATACACACGCATTCTCTCTCTCTCTCTCTCTCTCTCTCTCATTCTTTCTCTCTGTCTCTCAACAGACAAACGATGGTAACATGTAATTCACGAGAGGTAAACGAATTCGCAATCCTGAAGTGTCCCGATACCACTGTTGCTGTTTCATTTATAAACTACGGAGTATTTTCTGTGCTAGAGTTTAATCCCGAGAACGCCTAGGAAAAATTCGATTTTCTCTCTCTCTTTCTTTCTCGTTCTTTTTCCGTGTCCAAGAAAAGATGTCATTTAAGAAAAAAAAAAAAAAACGTCGAAGAAAAGTCAACACATAGAATTCCCCAAAAAATTTTTTTCAAAATCATTGTTTTATCAACTCTCGATCGTGTCAAGGAGATCTTTGTAAGATCGTGTGTTTTCGTTTTGTAACATCGGTTTCGAGACATTTACGTTACTTTTCTTTTTTCCTTTCTCTAGACATTGTTCGTTATACTGAAAACGATCATGTGTCGCAGCATACATACATATATGTATACATATATATGTAAACAAATTCTATTTTTCACTGTGATTTGAACATTCTATATCGAATAACACATATCTCACGTGTGTGCAATTTGTACATATCATATTGGACACTCTTTTTCGATATGATCCACGCGGAAACTAAACGCGACATTGACGAATATATAAAACAAAACGAGGATGATATTATCACGACCCACAATACAAAGATAACAAAAAAAAGTATATTCACATTTTTATAACAATAGTATGTGCAAATGCATAGAGGCACTCGCATTGTTCAACCGATTATGTTCTTTTTCTTTTTCTCTCAAGAGCAGAAGCTCGATCGTATAAACGTGCACATAAAGTAAGCAAATAAAGTATGAAAAAAATACGCATATATATTAAATATATGTATACAGAAAAAACATATACATAAATACATACGTACGTGCGTTATGTATGTATGCACATATACGAGTATATATACATACTATATACTCGTAAGACGTTTGGTAGAAACGACTTCTGATACAGCAAATATTTGCAATAAAAAGCATTGTTTTTTCATATGCCAAAAAGGGACCAAGGCTCTCGTTTCGAGTGATGCATGACTAAAATATGAAGGGGAGCAAACCGCGCAATTCAACTTATGTTCGCGTACAAATACAAAATTAGGCTTATATAAAAATTCTTTATGTATTAGACGTGTCTTCACCGATGTGTATATATATATATATACATGCGTGTGTGTTTTGAATAAATGAAAATGTTGACTTGTGTTTTTTGCAACGTGTATAACTGCGTAATGTATTTTTCTCGTTTGTTTGATAGTCAGAGCGTACATTGAGGTTTTATAATTTCAATCAAATAAAATAAAATACACATCCATTTTTTTTCGCTTGCGTGTGACGGATGATTATTTTTTTTTTCCCATGAATCATTTATAATCGCCTATAATATATATGTTTCCCTTCTTCTTTCCTCTTCCTTTCTTTTTCTCTTCTTTTCTTCTTCATTTTATTATTAATAAGATAACCGTAGTTCGGGAAGTTTTTCTTTCCCTCAGTTCATGGCGTCTAATTCCTAAATGCTAGCTACATCACTTAACGCTATAATCTATATTCTTACAATACAGTATACGATTAAACTAGCCATCATATACCTACTTGTTCAACTTAGAAATTAATATTGTGTACTATGTACAACACTTAGAATTACACTTTTTTTTTTGTTGTTTTGTTTAAAACCCACTTCACCAAGGAGAGAACATTTAAACGTGATCTCGGTAAGACAGTGCACTGTCAATCTGTGCGAGAATGCATTCTACATGTCTCTTACATGTCCGTCGTATTGACTCTGTCAAAACTTGAGGCTAGTATGCTCTCTGCGCACTGGTATAACAGTAGAAGCTACGATTTTTTTTTTTTTTATAATCCCAGACACATCACAGACTCATTCCAAATAAAAACACGTATGCCATTTTTTTTAGCGTTGTATCATCATTTAACGATTATATATCATTCATTATGTACAAAAAAAGCGTCTCCATTGTGAACTTGGGCTAGCCTGGACGTTCCACAGGTCGCTTTTATATTCGATTAATCTTTGTTATCTTGCTTGAAAAGGATCGTATACTTGCGTACGATGAACACTATCTTTTTATAAATAAACGCAAAATTACATACAAAAAGACGATTAAACAGTTTTTCACTAGTTGTCGACATTAGCATTAAAGTCAGATTTAAAAAAATTAATAAAAAAAGAGAAATTAAGTGTCACGAGATAATATATGTATATATTATACAAGATTTCATAATTTTACATCTGCGTCATTTCAAAATAAAAAAAAATTCTTCGTGCTCCTTTCATCGGCGTGGATAAGTTAGAAGCGAATGATATCTTAAAAAGAAAAAAAATATAGCGCCTCCATAAAAAACAAAAAAAAGTAGCAGTGAAAACAGAAAGAATTATATTTAATCTAGCTGGTAATTATACAGAAACGTTTACGTACATATTAGCGCGGAGGATAAGTAATACGTAAAAAAATATCAATTATCAATTAAAATTACGCTGTTATCGTTCCTCGTGCGCTAGGACGAACATTAAAAAAATAATAATGCTTCTGTAAAACAACATCATTTACATGTACACAGAGAGTACAGAAACGATCCTCGACTAAAAAGAATACACTGACGGGGATATGAAATTTATAAAATAATAAACTCTATTTAAAAACATCGTTCTATAATCTCCAATTCCGGGATGTAAAGTTCGTGATAAAAAAAAGAGAGGGGGGGGGGAGAAGAAAAAGAGAGATCAGAAGTAAAGAAACGGAACGGAAATAAGAGAAAAGAAATCTGATATTAGACTGATTTACCGAGAAGAAACTATTGAACACGACCAGTTAGAACGCAGTGGCTAACGCCCGAGAAAAAGCATTGGTAATCGTGAAATATTCGATAGTTTTTATCATAAATCTGAATAAGATTCTTGTCGAGCATAAACAAACCGTATAAATACCCTAAGAGAAACATTCCCACAGCGTGTCGGTCAGAACACGTTGCCGAATTACTAGACTATCAATCCTCGTCGGAAAGTGGCTCGTATTGCGCAGAAAGCAATGGCGCCGGCTCCGCCTGCATTTGTTCGGACTTTGTTACAGAGGTTGATCCGGAGGTCGGGGGTGGTGGCGCCGGTGGCGGGCCAGTGTGAACGCCTAGAGCGCTGAACGGATAAAAAGTGGTGGTAGGTGCCGGTGTGGGTGGTTGAGGAGTTTGATTCGGTGTCTCGTCGACCATCATCTCTCCGCTCGAGGGACTTTCCACGTTTCCTCCAATTTTCTCGTCCTTTTCTCCGCTCGCCACGTTCCCTCCGTTTCTATCGACCGCGCTGCCTCCCTTGTCGTCCTCCGACGTACGCATCACTTCGACGATCTTGTTCTTAACATAATCCAGCGGTGAAAGATGTGGCTTGTTGGAAGGTGTTCCGGAAGTCGATGTGGCAGTGGTTGTTTCGTACAGGCGACGCCCGTAGTGATTGGTGCCTGCTTCTGGTGGCGAAACAGGCTCGACCGAATGGAACTGTTGCTTTCCTATCGACGATGCTGACTGCTGATGCTGGTGCTGCTGCTGTTGTTGCTGCTGTTGTTGCTGCTGCTGCTGTTGTTGCTGTTGTTGCTGCTGTGACTGCTGTTGCGTGACTCGAATTATCTGACGCTCATCTCCGGTCTTAACGGAATCGGCCTCGTTGGCTTTTCGTCTCTTCCATTGATCTTCCATTTGATACCTGTGCGTTTGAATGGAATTATTTATTTTGGGAATATCGGCAGTATTAATATAGTAAATAAACTATATATATTTCATTGAAAACTTACCCACTATATGATCTATAAGAGGAATGCGGAGGACCGTAATCTTTCGAAACAATATGATCAACGTGTTCTCCAAGGGTAATTGGTTTGTTTCCACTTCCATTGCCGCCTGCATTCCCGGCCCCGCTGTTGCCGCTATTTCCATCGCCAGCCGGACTGTGAGCCATTCCATTTGGTTCTACTGGAGCCTCCCGGTGAAATCCCTGAAAAGTTTCCTATCGTATAAAGCTCATCTACCTACAGAAATGTTTGATAAAAGAAACAATAGAAAACAGGAGCTAGCACGTGGAATTTCAATTTACCTGGAAAAGACGATCCCCGGGTCGTTGCGGTTGTGAATTTCCACCAGTGTTTTCGACACTTTGATTAATCTGGTGTGTTATAATAGCATCAATCAAACTAGCAGCAGTTAACGTGGATGCTGATTCGTTCTGTTGTTGACTGGAGGATTGATTCTGCCTGGAGGACGACTGCTGTTGTTGCTGCTGTTGTTGCTGAGATTGTTGTGGTTGTTGAAGTCTCGCGGATTGAGAAAATCCGCTGCTTATTAACCTGCTGTCTCTGTCTAGCTGTTGCTGCTGTTGATCTCTGTACAGCTGAGCCATGTGTCTTCTCTCAGCTTCCATCCTTTGCTGTTGAATGTGCTGTTGAAGTTGTTGTTGTTGCTGCTGTTGTTGCTGTAAATGCGCCAGGTCTCTCTCCCTTTGCTGTTGCACAGCTAACCGATGCTCTTGGTGTTCTTTCTCGCGTTGAGCAGCTACTGCCATCTGCTGATGAATCTCTTTTTCTCTTTGTTGATGGACGGTAAGACGGTGATCGGTGTGTTGTATATCTTTCTCTCGTTGCTGTATCGATAGCCTGTGATCAGCATGCTGCACATCCTTCTCCCTCTGTTGAACTAGTCTGTGCTCCTGCTGCTGAATCTCCTTCTCTCTCTGCAATCTGTACTCCTCTTTCTCGCGTAGGTGAACTAGATCTCGTTCCCTTTCTCTGTCACGCTGATGATGGTGAGCTACAGCCATTCTGTGATCCTGATGCATGGCTAGACGATGCTTGTCCCCGTAACGATCAGCCAACAGTCTATCCGCCATAGTCTTACCAAGACCTTCGTGACTGCTGCTACCAGACGCAGGATGCCCGTGCGGATGGGGAACCGGAAGACTTGGTTGCTGCACAGCGACGTCTACCAAACTGGAGAACGCCTCTAGCCCCGGTGGTGGAGGTGGGTAATGAATCTGCTTCTGCGGGTTGTGTCTCTGTATCACACCCTGTCGAGGCTGCGTGTGAGTTTGCGGCGGAGGTGTGCTGGTGTAATACAACGTGGATGGCGCCTCGTTTTTACTGCTACCCTCGGATGTGCCAGCACTTCGACTACGTGCGTGCATCTGCTGACTGGTTATATAATCGTTCATGATTATCTGCCTCGACGAAAGTTGCTGCTCCATGGTGTAGCTAGGAGGCGGTCGTCCCGAGTAAGAATTATATTGATTGCTATGGGTCACTACCACTGCTGCCGTTCCGGCTTGGGCCTGACCCTGGCCAGGGATATTGCCCGTCGTTACGGGCGAATGTCTGATGGTTCTGTGATAATCGTACATTGGCGCGCGCTTATCCACCGCGAAAGGATGAACAGGCGTTCCTTGAGTTATGGATCCTGTTTCTTTAGGTCCTTGATTGTTTGGCGCGTTCACGGCACTCGCGCCGCTGGTCACGTTTGGCGTCCCAGCGGCGTTACCAGGGTTTCCTGGAGGAGTCATCTGTCTGAGAAGACCCTCATAACGTGCACTGGACACTGGAGTGCCATGCGTAATGGAACCGCTTTTGTGGCTCGTTGTCCCTATCGTGCTCAACTTTGGTGACAATTTTGGATGTGGCGGTGGTACCGCGACTTTGTTCATTTTAGGTGTAAGAGGTGCTTGAGGTCGTGGTGACGACGCGTACACTAGAGGACTCTTTGCGCCCCGTCCTTGTTGTTCCGGATGAGGAGCGTGAGGGTGATAGTAAGCACCTGGAGGAGGCTCCGGGCGATAGAGTGTAACCGTCGGTGGTTTATGAAGCGTCTGCAAGGAATGATTGTATTCTTGTTGCTGCCTTGGTTTCTTGATGCTCAGATCCAGAGTGCCCTCAGTGCTTTCCCGTAGCGCTTGCTGTACTTGCATCACGACTAATCCTTCCTTTGGAAGTATGTCCGATGTCGACGATTGACTACTCGATGGCACTGGTGGACACGGGGTAATTGTTGCTTGCATTTGACCTGATAGAGTAATTTTTACGTACAGTCATATTTTATTAGCAATAAAAATAATTACAATTATGTAACTTAATGACTAAAATGTACAAATTACAGGGAATAATTGGACAAAATTATACAAAACTGGGATACAACTATTACCTACAAACGTAGATATAAAATTTCAATTCCTTTTTCACGGTTATAACTAGAATATTCTAATGAGAGATAACGTGGCAGAGAGACTATTCAATCCTGATTCACAAACGAAAGAAAAGAAGAGAAAAGAAAGATACATAGAAAGTTTTATTTCAACTTTTGGAAGTTGATAACAATAAAATTCTTTCATTCGTCTTACCAATTTGCTGAGGACTAGGAGCAGATCGATGTCCATGGTGAGGACCAGACACCACCGACAAAGTAGCCAAATTCGAATCCCTTGGCATAGTAGTGTTCGCCATAGTGGACGACGGTTTATATTCTCTTACAAAGGTGATATCGTTTCTGTGATCCGTTTTCAATATACTCGATATCGTTGGTGTTCCAGAGTTGACTGGTACTGAAGAACCACCAGTACCAGCTGGACTGTTAGGATTGCGCTTCAATTGCATTTCAATAACACCAAGCATCAGATCCTTCACGGTGAGAGGATTGGAGTTGCTGGTGGTCGATGGTGGCGAATGCAAAGGCGGTGGCACTTGTTGATGTGATTGCTGGTGCTGTGGTGTGGAGTTATTGGCAGTTGTTAACGTAACGACCACACTGCTGTTTTCTAAATCGGTGCCTCCCTGACCCTCGTCCGCCGTCTCCTGAAACAATCAGCGAACCTCTATCAGACGGCCCTATCAAGTGACAAACTTCTTTCTATATTTAATTATGAAAATAAGAGAAATGAAACTAAAATAGCATTGAGATCTTTTTAACACGTTTAACGCTGCAAAGTAACTCAATTTGTCTTTTAAGTATATTGAATGTATGAGAATTGTATGAGATTAATCATTTCGTTAGTTGTTTGATAGAACGGAATGTTCAAAGGACGAAACAAATAATAATTGAAAATGAAGCATAAAAATAATAAACTAAACTTTACATAGAAACGTAAATGAAACGTAATTCATCATTGCTTGAGCAGAATTAAATCGATTGAAACGCGAAATTTGATTACAAATATATGAAAGTACGCGTATTTAACAAAAATAAAATACTAACCCTTGGAATTTTATATTGAACATACGTGTTAAAATATTTCTTTCTGTCAATGCAAGTCAGATAATTTACCCTATTTTCATTTAACCTTCTCGACTGTCAATCGGATAAAAACTTGGTCTTACCGTGGCAGAACTATCATAATCTTCTCTAGTGCCAGCCGAAGCAGTATTGCTGCTTCCACTGGTGGAAGACTGTTGTGATGGACCTATGCTCACCGGTGGTACCAATGAAACCACAGCGATATCCGCCAACTTATCACCGAGCTTTTGGTCTGTCGATCGTGAGAAAGACATTGGCAGATTCGAGGCTGCCGTGACACCGGGTGTTCCTGGTGCTCCACTGGATAAATTGTTCGCTGGACTGCCTGCACTGGCTGTATCACTCGAATCGTGAACCTAAACGAGAAACAGATTGCTAGACTCGTTAGATCAAGGATAATTACACACTACTTTTTCCACTGTACAAAATATATACTTTGAAAGGAAAGCTAGATCTTAGAGAACAACTAACCGCCAATTCGTCACAGCTACTAGTACTGCTACCACTTTCTTCTTCGTCTGTTAGACAAGGTCTCCTCTCCTCGCCTAACGACTGATAATATTCTGCAACAACCTGGTCTAAACTCAGCTTCTTCCGATAGGCAAAATAATAATTTTTGCACTGATGGTTTGTCTTTCCAGATACTTGCTCGGCGACTTTCATCCAGTTGGTGCCGTGCTCTCGGAGGGCTCTCCTCAGTTGTTCCAGTTCCTCTTCCGTCCACTGTCGTGCAAGGGAGTCGACCGAGTCCTCGGGTACTTCGCTACCACCGGTTAGATGCGGCGCCAATCGTCGGGATATTCGATTGAAACAGGCCGAGCAACATTTCGTCACGTTGCTTGGTATTTCTGGAAGAGCAACAAATATTTTTCAAACTGTTTCGTCGATCTGTTTCATCGCGTATTTTCTTCTCTTTTTGACTCGACATATTTCGTTGTTACATCGTTAAAAAATCGCGTGCAATATGCTTACGAAATTCTTGAATAATTGGATCGCGAATTTCGGGAGGTAAATCGAGCCATTTGGCGGGCAAAGCTCGCAGCCTCTTGACCCTGGTCTTGGAGCTGTTGTTCAAATTCGGGCAACCGGGCAATGGACACGCGGTGTACCGTCCTCTGACAGCCTTGCACCTGCAGGTGTTGCACACGCGTGCACCAGGCGCGACCTGATCCTCTCGCAGACCATACTGAGACGCTTGACTTCGTGGCAACGCTCTGCTCTGAGTGTTCCCCTCGACGATGTTCTGGCAAACGGTGCAGGCGTGGGGGCCGATTTGTCTACCAGTTTCTGAGAACAGAAGAAAACAACATGCTCTGTTAGAAATGGCCCGATTTTGCTCCGTAAGTCTGTCATCAATCTATAAATCTTCATCGTCTTTTCATTTCAATTTCCGTGAATGATTCGAGTGCAAAGAGTTCTGATTCAAACCTAAAAATGAAGGCACCCTATGATTGGTCCACTGAGACGAGGCAATAGATCTAAAAGGCAAGTGACCGATGCTTGTCTAGAATAGGGACAACTTGTTTAGATCTGCTGCCTCGTCTCGTTTGAGAGAGGCAGGGAGAGTCCTGTTGTAAGAACCATAAAATAACAGTACAGTACCCGCGAATCAGTGAGAACACTCGATGCTGCGAATCGAGCACGCGGACGTTGGACAGACTATACGTCCGATAAAATTCGACAGCGATCCATCTACCGTCCCAATGAGCGAAAAACGCGTTTTACCATTTTCCCGCTGCGACTATCCTATATTTTGATATTTGATATCCTACATTTCGTTCATGGTGAAGTTGAGCAAACAGAAGTGGGGTACGATATCGTTTGATTCAGGCTGGTGCTCAGCTCTGTCGGACTGCCGGAGCGTAGAAGCAAGAACTCGTAGCGAAAACACGAGAGAAGAGAGAAGGTTCCGAGCACGTAGAGGGATGAGGAAAAAGTGATGAAGCAGCAGCAGTAGCAGCAAGCAGGTCGGATGGGAGGAGGACGGACAGCCGAGCTATACGGAAACGGAGCGAGAAACAGAATAATTACCGAGACTGCTGGTTAACTAATTAAGGGTAGCCAATTAAAAAGTTCTCTCTCGCCCGCGGCCTCGCAAACATTGACGTAGAAACGGGAGACATGGTAAAATCGCTTTGATGGTTTTACCCCCGGAAGCGGGTTGGGTGCCAGGTGAAAAATTTAAGTTTATTCTTTCCACCGGGCATTATTGTCGGGGTATCGCGGGGTCATTTGCTTAAGTACAGTCGAAAGAGACGAAAGAGAGCTTACGAAATCGGCCAGGAGCTGTGAGAGAAAGTGAGAGAGAGAACGATGTTCAAGCATCGATCTCCTGCCGTTTTTCATTTGTTCGATAATTTCCAAGTTCGTGGCAAAAAGTAATCAACGATTAACGATTCAATTTTTCCAATTAGTTCTCGATGGCAATTAACGATTACATTCCAACTTTAATTGTTGGTCATGAATCGAATTTCTTACTATGATTGTCAAGTTCCTTTTAATTTCAATCGTCAATTGAATATTTAATTAACAATCAGAGACCTGAGATTCTTCTTATAGTGAAATAGCGTTCTCTATGTGTCTTCCTGTTCGCTAGGAGTCGAGACGTCTTGCAATGATATACAGAGAGAGATGATAAAAATCTTCTGTGAATCCGTGAACTGTGAAATAACAACGAATAAAAGAAATGAAGTTCTTTTTATCACTGTTTGTTTATTTAACAAATTTTGAAGGAGTTCAAAATAAGTTTAAATTAGGCTTGCAGCCTATACCTCTCGACAGTGTAATAAACCAGGAATATGTTTTAACTTGATTGAACATCTGAAACTTGCTTTATGCACGTCAGCAATATCTACCAGCTCTAAAAAAATATTTTCCATAATTGGAAAAATGTTACCATTACTGCTGGAAAATATAGACTTATTATTAAGATTTTTATATACAAAGACGTCCAATTTCAAATAATTACCTTGTTGTCTTATTATTCATCGCTACAACATAAATTATATCGTAGACATTTGATTGTGAGTAACGTGAGTAGAAATAATAGATACGCAGTCTCAACTACCTTTGTTTAATCTTCTTTTTCTTCGCTATTTCTCATACAGAAAATTTTAAATTTTAAGGTTATGTCCCAGACCGAAGAACCCTAGAGTATTCTGTATTAGAATGAATACAGAATACTTTGTTAAGCGATTTTTGTTACTTTTTACCATTGTCAGAATATTAAACATTCTTGCGCTCTGAATCATGTTGCGGTCTAGTTTACATTACCATTATTCTTTCGAATGTTTACCTTTAATGTTTACTAGATCACAGCTCGGAATGTCATGGCGTAGGTTAAGACGGTCGCTGATCCGCGCGTTTGTTATGTTGGCATCAATCGTTTCATCGGTGCTTTAATTTCACCGTTTTCAAACGACCTACGGCAGAGCAATTAACCGGCTCGTCCTTCGAATCTGATTGGCTAGATAGATCGAACTAGTTCTAATGAAAACAAGCTCGCGAACGGCCGCGCTCCAGAAACGTTGCAACTCTCATCGAATAATCGACGAATCAGAAACGTTACAATTTTCACATCGATCGGAAACGTTACAGTTTTCAACGAAGAAGAATCTCTATAATTTACAAACCGAGTAATCGATACGCGAAGAATTCGTACCGCCAAGTAAAATACTCTCATTTTGACAAGTTGAAGTTTCACTTTCGGTTAGACGAGACAAGTTCAGAGTTCTTATCGCTGTGTAGTTAAAAACACACCTTTGAATACTCTCACACCAGAAGATACACTCGACCACGTACGAGCAGTACAGCCACGAGTAAGTTGCAATAAACCATAAATTAACGACGGCGGGTTCTCCAGTCAGAGAAATATTTTCGAAATTACGTCAAATGGAAAATTGTTTGTATTACATTAAGAAATCCACATAGTACACACGTCGAGATGATCGTGCTAATTGACGATTAATGCTATTATTAGATTAAATCAATCGTTTTTCGAATATTAATTTTTTTTTTTCAGTGACTGACGATTAAATCAATCGCCGATTTTTCGACGATTAATTTCACTGATCGTAAAGTTGATAAATGAGATACTAATGCATTGTAATAACTTTGTAGTTAGTCAAAAAATATCTTACAAAAGAAACACTATTTTATTTTATAATTTAAAGCTTACACCTATCTTGTATATCACGTGAAACGAATCGAGCGATAATCGAAATAATAATAATACACTTCAAACGTTCACCAATCGACGGATGCAAATTTATTTAACATTTACGAAATACATGACTCGGTAATGATTCGAAACACTTAACCTTGGTGTCGTTTATTTGTCAGGTATCGATATATTTTCCGTTGCGAGTGTGACGTGATTAATCAATTCGCGAATGACAACGTTTGCGATAATTATTAATTTCTAGTATCGCGGTCGTGGCGTTTTGTTAGTTTTGTATTGTGTACATCAATCAAATAAATTGACAGTGCTCGGTATGATAGACAATTAAAGCTACATTAATAAGCTAATTTACAACTCGCGATGTTGTTTTACTTACGTATTTTCTCTCTCGTTACTTGTGGACGCGACTTCACCAGACACAATTCTATTATCTTTTTCTCGTGCATAATAAATAATATGTTTTGCTTAATTGTGTTTTTTTCGGTCTGATCGGTAATTATAATAGATACGAACATGTGAAAAATAATAAGTGATAAAAGTAAAGACACTCGTTACTAAATAAGTTACTGTGGAAGACTGAACGAAACCTAACCTAAACCGTTGGTAAATTTACGTAAAACTAAAAGGGGTGGTTTACACGAAAGCTTCGAGGAAGCTTCGAGTTTCCAGAATTTCGAAACTTCGTACTTTTTCTCGAAAGAGAAAAGATTTGAGTTTTCTCTCTCCTGTCTTCAGACAAGAGAAAGTATAAAAATCAACGAGTAAAAAAGAATTTGCAGCGTGAATGAAGAATGTTTGATCCAACGTGTATCTCGAAGATGCACATTTTATTTTCAAAACTACAAGCAGATCGACCTCCAATTCTGGAATGATGATACAAAATCCAAATCTAAAGAAATTATTTTTCAATATATATAGCTGACAAAAAAAAAAGAAATAAAAGAAATAGGTTAGATCAAGAAAGGGTTTAAATGTTGTGAAACAAGAATTCGAATTAGATGTTAAAATAAAATCGGCAGTTCAAGTTTCGAGATCTTACAAAGTTTCGGATTCGAAACTCCGTTAATAAAAATTTATTCAACTTCGAACCTATCTTTACATAAAACCTCTCTTAAGTATCGTTTTGCTTGTACAAGCGAAAGAGGTATTCCTTGCTACTGTAAATCACAAAACATTTACGAATCTCCAGGAATCGTTCGTTTATTACTTGCAAAAAACATTTGTTATCGACGGAGGGGGGGGGGGGCATAACGTTGATTTTCTATCGCCAAGAAATCGAGAAGAAAATGTATACGCTAATTTTTTATTAAATGCTTTTATCATTAAGAAAAATTATTTTTAATTTTAAATTTATTAAAAATTTATAAATATTTTGTTATAAAAATATTTATTTTGGGTTTTGTTTTTAATTTGATTCTGTTTAATTTCAATTTTAAGAAAATTTTAACTTTTTTAAAAAATTTTATTTTTATAATTAATATATATATATATATATATATATATATATATATATAAAGTTATTATTCTTTTGTTTTCACGAAATGCACAGAAAGAAATTTCACAAAAAAGTTATATCTCACAATATAATCGCAGAAATGAAAATTTAATCCGTAGAAAAAAATTTAACATTGAGAAATCAATAATTCTGTTTAGTACGATATGGCGTTGAAATAATTTTCTATTTCATCGCTTCTGCGTATACTGAAATCATAACTGCGACTGAGGTAAACTATGACGGTCAATCATAACAGATAGTTATTCAGTATTCAATTTGACGCCAGACAGCGTCATCCGTAGATAAGATTTTAACACGCCTTATAAACGAAAAATGTGAACGAAATAAACAACAGTAATAATAATAATAATAATAATAATAATAATAATAATAATAATAATAATAATAATAATAGTAATAATAAAAATAACCAGAAAGACTCAGTTCGAATCGAATTTTTAACGACGATACGGGGACAATTAACCGATCGATTCTATCCAGAATCGTAATTTATTTCGTAAAATTGGCCCATTTGGATCGCATGCGGAACGGCTAAATTATGAGAAGCAATTTCTCTGCCCGCGGGGGAATAGCTGCCAATCAGTGTCGCGAATATTCTCGCGTGGCGTTTATATGATTGCTCGGTAGACAATTCTTCCTCTCGCGCGTTGGCCACCACCGTCCCTTCCGCCTTCTCTTGGCTGGTATCCGGTGTGATACATCTGTACACAGTAGCACCGGTAGTTCTGCGTCAACAATAATTTTCTCCCGTGTTCCGAAAGACACGAGTACACCGTGTGACAGGCCACCAGAGAGTTAGTTGCGTGGCATCATCGTAGTTCGACATAACGAAAGCTCGCAGATCACTTCGAACCATTGCAAAATCCTCGATAATTGTAATGAAATAATTCACGGTGCGCTGCGTTGTATACTTTCATACCATTTTAATTATCAGCTGTTTTTTTCTTTCTTTTTTTTTTAATTTTTAAACGAGAAAGCGATATCAAAATTTATTTCCCGACAATTTTTTTTGGTAAATTTCTCAAATTCGTTATACCGCCCCCGTTAATTCAACGCATGGGCGTATTAGCGTACATAAACAAAAGGTGAACTTAGGCGTGTGTTGGCGCGTATGGAGGTAGTTATATGTTATGTGACTTTGGGGAAAAGATTTTCGGTGATTTTTGACATTCGATTTCACATATATACATTCGAAATGTAAATTGTTGTTTTTTTACTTTGGTTTCAATACAGTTGAGTGTTTCTCGTAATGTACAGTGAAAAGAGTGTAATTGTACTAATAACAAAATCGTCGACGATTTGAACTGATGAACGATGTGATTTTGTATAAAAAATGGATCGGATGACAATCAACTGGTTCCCGTTTCGAAACGCGACACTTTCGTCTTTCTCGAAAATCATTTTCCAGGGAAATTAAAAAAATTGTAAAAAAAATTCTTCTCGTGACTGGATCCATCATCAATTTTGAAGATCAAAGTTTCCCCTCTAAGAAAGAATAAAATTTGTTCGTTAAAGTCTTCATTTTCAAAAAGATCGAGCTTCGAAAATTTATTATGAATAGTATATCAACAGAATGGCAAAATAATACATGAAAAATTGTCTCCATTTTGCAAAGAGATCAACCTCATATAATGGCCTTCCAACATCCAATAAATTTCACTTTAACTTCTTGCGCTGGAATGACGTGCCACGCACGTCGAGAACTTTTTGTCCCAAAATTGCAATATTTCCACAGTTTTAAGTATATTTAAGTGCAACCCAGGCAAAACAAGTAATAAATTTATTACTTCTCAATAATTTCTATCCAGTGATATCATACCGACGAGTTCTAAAGAAAAAGAAAGCGACAAATTATTGTATATGGTTCGGTCACTCGTTATGGTCCGCAATCACTTGTTAGCGCAAGTGGTTAACCTCTTGTGCTGGAATGACGTGCCACGCACGTCGAGAACTTTTTGTCCCAAAATTGCAATATTTCCACAGTTTTAAGTATATTTAAGTGTAACCCAGGCAAAACAAGTAATAAATTTATTACTTCTCAATAATTTCTATCCAGTGATATCATACCGACGAGTTCTAAAGAAAAAGAAATCAGTGTATATGGTTCGATCACTCGTTATGGTCCGCAATCAGTTGCCAAGTGGTTGATCGTTCGTCTCGGACTAGTAGTCTTCAACTAGTAGTAGAGCTAGTACATCGAGTCGTATGATAAAATAATGCTCGTAAAACGAACGTAGAGTACAGAGGACAGCTGACATTTCGCGCTAAACTATTTTTCTTCGTTCGAAGCATTCAAGGCCGCGAGAAACAAAGACCACAATCGGAAGAATGCCGTCGAGCTTGTTCAAACGATAGATCGAAAGGTGGAAAGGGAAGAGAGAAGCGAGAGAGAGAGAGAGAGAGAGAGAGAGAGAGAGAGAGAGAGAGAGAGAGAGAGAGAGAGAGAGAGAGAGAAAGCAAGAATGGGAAAAGAGTAAAAAAAGAAGAAAAGAAAATGGGAGGGAGGGAGAAAGAAAAGAAAGCGCCGGCGAAATGAGAGACATTAGCTACGTGCTAATTAAGCTGGCTCGAAACAGAGCGACGACAAGGAGTATATCTTGAATATTTTACGAGGGGTATCACAAGAGAGCTACAGCCCCGTACACCATTCTCTCCCCTACCTGCAACCCTTTCCTCTCCATTTCATTTATCCATCTTTAACTCCGGCCACGCGTGTAATTTCCGTTTCTTTCTGAAGTCGAAGGAGCAAGATACAAGGAGATCTTTTTGTATATGTATCGGGAAAAATTTCAGCAAAGTAGGACGACAACATTCAAGAAAACAGAGAGCCAATAATTTGGGAAATTATAGGAAAACTCGTTTACAGATAGAAAGTGGAAGCGTTTATGTCTGACATGTTATGATTAAAGTAACGTTTACTGAAGAAAATCGCGAGGCAACGGAATCAAGAATATATAATTCAGTAGTGCACAACTTGTGGTTTATAGAACTCTTCAATCATATCATTTGTATAACAAAATTAAATTATCTCAGTTACAAATGCGTGAAAACGACATAGAAGCACACTGTTTTGACAAGCATCTACAGGATGGGCCAAGAATTTCTTTTCCACCTACTCCTTTTTTTTAATAAAAAGAAACTGATTTTATTAAATTAAAAAATTAAATTTAAAATTACGGACTTATTGTAGTAGGAGATGATTTCTTGGCTTGTTTTATATATTTCTGTTCTTGCCACTTTACCGTTTGCATAAGCAGTTACTGAACAAGTGAGAGAGATTTGGCCCTTTAAAAGATTGCACGTCACTGATGTAGAGATTAACACTAGAACTACTAAAGTGTAATATTTGTAGCAAGGTACAGGGAAAAGTTGACAATACAATAAAGAACACAAGCTCCTATCGATACATTTTATCGAAAGTCACTCGAGTATCAAGAGAGTATCTAAAATTTCCATAGAAAATTACAAATTGGTCAGTCTGACCAGTTTGGTAGTTCCAACGTTAAAAGACAAAAGACACTGAATTCTCGTGAAAATTCCGAAGTACGCAGCAGTGCACTCAATTTCCAAAATGAATTATAGAGGGGAGGATTAAACAACGCGATTCAATTTCTTTTGTTCTCACACGAAACGGGCGGATGTGTATCGACGATTCAAATGTCTGCGTTGCAAGGGTCGGATAATGGGTTAAACCAACAAGTGAGCATTATTACACGTGTCCCCTATGTGCATCCAGCAACTGACTACGTGCGTTAATAAAATATTCCCTTTGATTTCGGCCGTTCGCGTGTACGTGTGTACCACGCGTAACAGCAAATACGGGGAACATTGCCCGTTTATTCATTATGACTGGGAATTAAGCACGAGAAGAAAGCACGATTAACCTGGCTCAAGCAAATGTCTTTAACCACGTACTAAGCTAAGTGAAGCAAACAGCCAGTTTACCTCGCTCACGGGATCTTTCATTTGTCATGAGTCAACATCGTCATTTTAGTGTTTTAGCTCACACCCTGTTTAGCATTTAACCCTTCAATTTTTCTTTCGGCGAACGAAACTGAGCGAAACGTGCCAAGAAGCAAAGTAACAGTAGTTTGGGTAAATGTTAAGAAAAAAAATTTTGAGAAAGTTTTGTTTCAAAAGGACTCGTCAAGGTATAAAGAGCTACTGTGTTTCGAAATATCAATAAATCATTCTACGATCCATATGATAAGTTAGTTAGGTAAGTTGCCTCGTCTATAACATTAAATTGCATCAACAACAAAAAATATTAGAAAATGATATTTTTAAAAAGATAGTTCCTCCCATCCAGTTACAAGTTAAGAAACGATTTTACGTACTGTAATAGAGAGGATATAATTCAGGTGGCCTGGTTTTCGCGAAACACCAATGTACAATCGAGAGATTTTTTTCAATAAATCGCTTTCCTGTAATATTGTACACTCAAATACGTCGGCAACTCTATCAAACGAGTGAATTATCTCTTACTAACTTTCCCAAATAAATAAGTATAATATTGTCCAATATTCCCCTACATGTTCACGTATACAAAATAATATATATAGTTTATTATTTATAAACTATATTATTTAAAAGTTTATAGTAAACTATATTATTTATAAACTATATTATTTAAAAGTTTATAGTAAACTATATTATTTATAAACTATATTATTTAAGAGTTTATTATTTATATATCATCGACGTACAATATTTATCATCATCATCGTCAATCACAGTCAACAGTAATATTTATAATTGTTTTTCTTTTTTTGTAGCATCGTCTGAAAATTTTATCAATAAATATTCGTTAAAAAAATTTCTCCCTAAAGCGCCGGAAATGCTTAATATTCGTAAATTACCGCTAGTTGCGAATTAAACGCCGAGACAGTTGTCAAGATATTCGAATAGAATGTGTCGGCGGATCTTTCATCATTTCCAAAACGATGGCCAAAGCTCGAGGTCTTTCAAACTCTACGCGTTTCGACGAACAGATCCGTATCCCAGAGAAGGGGCATAGAAATCAAAATGAATAATCGAAAGCGGTTAAGGGGGTAGGTAGAGGAGGGGTTTTGGTTCTCTTCTTCTGTGTTTGCGCCCAGCGTTTCGCCGGAAGGCATCGAAACGACGCGTTTTTTTATTTACGTATTTATGAGATTACATAACGGTCCGCGTCCCGAACAAAAATGATTAAAAGCAAATATGTGCGGTGGTTTTTCGCGAGCCAACGAATCGGGGACCAAGGAATCGTCAAACATGTAATAATACAACCGAGTTACATCAATCGTAATATCGCGGGGAAATAACGAGAATTCATTTTTCTATAATCCAATATATGGGAGGTGGGGGAGCCGCCACGCCGGTTTAACTGTATTTTTCATTAAAACGAATGGTTACGCAGACGTGTACGCGTGTGCACGTACGTGGCGTCGATTATTTTATTCCTGCGATGAAAAGTCGATGAATTATAACGCGGGGGGAGGGAGAGTCTGGGGTATAACGGAATAAAATCTTCAAATTGGAGAACTTTATGGAATGGGTTCCGTGGGTAAATATATGTATATATGTATGCGCGTGTTTAAAATGATTCGATCGTAGATCGTGTGTTTGACCACATGTGTGTGTGCGTGCGTGCGTGTGTGTGTGTGTGCGTGCGTGCGTGTGTGTGTGTGTGCTCGGTGCAGCACGTTTTAATGATGTACAAACGCTGTTCTTGCAGAATATCTCGTAAACAAAAATTCGTTAGCCTCGGTAAAAGGGAAGAGCGTTTCCTTTTTATTCGATTAATCCTTTTAATTCGTTGATTGTACACGACGGACGGCCTTCGACTAACTTTTCATGTGCAGAAACGTGGAAGTAATTCGCGCGGGGATAAGAATAGCGATGGCTCGCTTTTCTTTTTTTTTCCTTTTTCAACTTGCGCTGACAACTGATTGCGGACCATAACGAGTGACCAAACACCGTATATAATAATTCGTCGCTTTCTTTTTGAACTCGACGATACGATGTATCACTGGATAAGAATAGAAATTATCGAGAAGTAATTTATTATTTATTTTGCCTATTTTCTTTTACTTGAATATATAATTTTACTTATTATAACATGTTATGCTGTAATATATAATATATAATATGTTATAACACAACCTATGTTATGCCTATTCTAGTTAAATACATTGGCATTTAGTGTGTTCATTGTTAAATTATATTACAGATTAAAGCTGTTATTAACTTTTCAATAAAATGAAATTTTCTACAGTGTCGGAAAACGACATTACTTGCATCCTCAACCACTTGCGCTGGCAACTGATTGCGGACCATAACGAGTGACCAAATACCGTATATAATAGATTTGTCGCTTTTTTTTTTCTTTAGAACTCGTCGGTATATCACTGGATATAAATTATTGAGAAGTAAATAAATTTATCATTTGTTTTGCCTGGGTTGTGCTTCAATATACTTAAAACTGTGGAAATATTGCAATTTTGGGACAAAAAGTTCTCGACGTGCGTGGCACGTCATTCCAGCGCAAGAGGTTAACCACTTGCGCTGACAACTGATTGCGGACCATAACGAGTGACCAAACACCGTATATAATAGATTCGTCGCTTTCTTTTCGTGCTCGTCAGTATAATATTACTGAATTATTGAGAAGTAATAAATTTATTATTTGTTTTGCCTGGGTTGTGCTTCAATATACTTAAAACTGTGGAAATATTGCAATTTTGGGACAAAAGATACTCGACGTTACGTGACAGGTTAAAGGAATCATTACATCTTAAATATAATCGATGTTTAAATATATATATATATATATATATGTGCACTTATAGACAATTAGAGCACATGCAGCAAGCTATATTAACGGTGCACGATGTGTATCCATACGTAGATAATCCATTATTTGCACAACGAAAACGCGGCCATGGCTCTCGCCGTCGAATTTAACCACACTCCCACTCTCTCCATTCCTCTCCTTCTCTCTCCTCCGGTTCTCTCGCTTTGCCAACCGTCTAATGCACACAGGAACACGACGGCTGTGTGTTGCTCTGCAGCTAAAGGCATTAATTGGGATTAAGTAAATCAAGACGCTAATTAGCTCGCGTCAAGAGTACGCGCGCGCGCGCCCTCAGCCTTTCGGCCCAACGATGAAGCTCCCACCACCACCACCACCACCACCACCAACACCAAAAGTCTCCACTCTCGAACCAAAATGTTGCCATCATCCCCCTCATGGCTACGACTTTCTCTCTCTCTCTCTCTCTCTTTCTCTCTCTCTCTCTCTCTCTCTTTCTCTCTCTCGCACACATACTCTCACTGTAACTAGCTACACACCGACACGAGATCACCAGTTTCCACACAGCCATTTAATTTTCCTACCCATTTGCTATGGCCACTGCCACTGCCTACGATTACAAATTTACCTGTGCAGACGACGCGTTTATTCGAGGGTAGTTCGTTTATATTTATACGACGTCATTAGCGACACCAGCGACGGCCGATGTTCAAAAGATAGGGCACCCTCTGTCCACAGATGATTATCGTTCGTTCGAATGACGATGATGATGACCGATGATGACGATTCATTTGGACACAAATTTTCACTTCGCGACACTAGAACTACCAACGACCGAGGCACAGAATTTGAGCATCATCAGAGGTATTACAACACATTGACCAGTTGCGAGTTAATTCCTGTTTTGTATCTGCATTAACTACACTGATCACAAAAATTGGGGGATAATTTCGAAATGAATGTGAAGCGATAAAAGAAGCAAGCATTTGATCTTTTTTTCTTTTTATTAAACAAGAACATCAGAAAAGCGAGCTCTCTCCTTGCTTTCTTGTTTAATTAAAAAGAAAAAAAAATCAAATGCCTCTTTTTTTTATTTCGTTTCATATTCTGAAATATCTCCTAATTTTTGTGAGCAGTATATTTCAATTTTTGACACTCAGGGTAATACAGGATACTGCGAAATTGTTCTAGTGTTCACTTTATTACAGAAAAAAATATCATTTCTATTGATGTTTTTATCGCAATTTAGGTATTACAAAAATTTCAATCATGACGGTGAAGAACTTTTCAATGAATTATATATGCAGACGTTTTATTGATTGTTCGAGTAATTTTTGAAATATATTGTAGTGACGTGGAAATTGATAGTTTATCAGAAGACAGTTAGACTTCCAAAAATGGCAAATTTGCAAAACCTGTTGTACACGTAAGTGAATAGTTTATCATACCAAAAAAAATTACTAAAATATATTATATGTATAAAATAACATATACATATATATATATATATATATATAGAGATATACAAAATTTAAATTCATTCTGTATAAATAAAGTACACTGAAGTTTATTTAGATTAATAACCGGTGACATGAGATAGCTTCTGCGTAAAATTATCAAGAAGAAAAAGAAAAAAATAGAAAACTTGTCAAATATAATACAAGCTATAATATAATAAAATATAATAAAAATATAATAAAATATATACAAGCTTTTATTTATGTACTTTATAAGAAAAATCATTCAAATCACTGAAAATACACTGTTTTACGTCTATAATATGTTTAACAAAAATTATTTTCACCATCTCTAGTAGTTCTAGTGTTAATGTTGACGAAAAATCGATGTAGCGGACGAACGTTCGTTTGATTGACATTCGATTCGATGCATTTTTGATGCTACGACCGAGAATGTATGCACGTGTTTCTCGAGTCAACGGTCGCGGGTATCTCCCAACCAAAGGGTTCTCCCGGCCGACCCGTTAAAAACTTCGCAAATCCCATCGCAAAACCTTTTATACAACCTGAAATTCAATTTCTTTGCCAATTACATAGAACCCCATTAAAATTAGAAGCAGGAGGGAGAGGAGAGGCCGGTCTCTCGGTACCGAGCCGCCACCACCACCACCACCACCACCATATGGGTCGATGAAACGCAAAGAAAGAATAAGTGAATTTCTGAGCAGGTGAGTATTTATTTCATTACAAGTGAAATAGCCTATCTGCGAGGGGCCAGAGAGCGAAAGAGAGAGACAAAACAGGGGAACGTTGGGGGGAGGAAGCAAGTTCGAACGAAACACGTTCGGGATACAGATAGGGGATGAAGAGAGAGAGAGAGAGAGAGAGAGAGAAGGTGGGAGAAATGGAGGGGATAGAGAGAGAGGAGAGAGAGAGAGAGAGAGAATGATGGCGGAAGCGGTGAAGAGAAGCCGCAGAAAGCCCGTACGGATCCTGTTAATATCGCGAAAAGTGTTTGCTCAGCTTGTCTCGACCGAGCTCGGAGCATTAAACCGCGAGAGCGTTCTTTCTCGTCTCCCCGGGATCCGGGGAGAGCGATACCGACCTCTCCAATGTGTACACTTCTGCTCCCGATTATACGTTGCGCCAGCCCGAACCAGCTATTTCCTTCCTTTCCACCGCGGTGAATTTCGATTCTGTCAATTGAAGCGGCGATCAGTTTCACCGGGAGTACTTTGTCGCCGAGTCCGCTTGACAATTTAACTAACAGCTCGCGTAGACGCGGAAACGCGGATTCGAGGACCGTGGCATACCAACTGTGGGGGGAGGGGAGGGAGAGAGAAGGCGATTGACTGACGAAAGACTTGAAAAGTTCGCGTGGACGCAAGTAAGTAACCGGGTAGTAAATTTGGTAAAATTTGTAGAAAACGATCCATCTACTGTGCGATTGTATACAAGATGATACAAGGTTAGAAAGGAAGGGAACGTTCAACTATTCCAAAATGGCCGCGTGTGTCAGAAATGGTAAGTTTGAAATTATATATATTTTAGTATATTTTATATATTTTTATATATTTTATATATTTTATTTATATAAATATTTTTTTAAATTTTCCGAGTGAATGGACATTGAAACGAGAAAATACACTGTACGACGAAGAAATAATTTTATTTGTATCGAAAATATACAAAAATAAGTTAGAACGAAGAAGTTAAAGCGCAAAGCAGAAACTCGACATTTATCAAATTTGCTAGACGCGGCACTCGAGAAGTGTTAACTCGAGAAGAGGTAAAAATTTTCGGAGGAAACTTCCTTCTCTCATGATCGTGCTCTAACACTGAAATTTGCCGAGGATCAAGGCAATCTTCACCTCGGACATTAAGGTAAAAAGAAGGATAGAGTGCACGATCTTCTACTTGAAATCTCTAGAAATTTACTAAATTATTTTACGTAAAATAAATTCATCTAAAATGAAAATTATAAACTGACCGTTTCGACCACTTTATAATTTTCAGTTCCAGTGTTAGGACCAAGTATTTCCCAATTTGTGCACCCAATTTGTTTGAATATTATAAATTCCACTTAAAATATAATAAATTGTAATAAATCAAATTAGAATTGATAGATTGGTAAAATAAATTAAAATTACAAAAAATCGTAATAAATCGAGCCGTTATAAAATATTAAATATGAACAAAAGACTCCGAAGAATATTAATAAAACTTAACGAATCTGAAACTCGGGGGAAAAATCCCATCGACGAGAGTTGAGAATTCTCTAATAGAGACCGTCTTCAGAGAGAGATCGTGGGTGGTGGTATCACGTTAATCAGACAGTATTATTATCAACAATGACAATGATGCTAATAGCTACGCAAACGACGATTACCGGTGGTGGTTGTTGCTTTTCGATGGAGATACAACCGATGGGATAAAGGGGACGGCGATAGAGGAGGAGGAAACGAAGTGGGGAAGGGGCGGTAGAGGGAACTCCGCTTCTGTTAACTCCAGTTTGAAGCTGGAGGCCCCCTGGGAAATGTGTGTAATCGCCATGTCCCGTTCTGAATTGGTGGCGACGCATTCTTGCCCGGAACCGCGACTGTTCCAACGCCACCCTGGTTACGATGACCCACGATTAACTTCAACGGCTGTGTTATACGGCCCCTTGTTTCCCCGTTATTCACGGCGAATCTTTGTTATTTGTCGAGTTCCATGCTTGTTTTAATCATGCAGAGTGACTTGACAGGCCGAAAACAGACAGAGTTCAGGAAACTTTCGAATGTCGAAGCCGCTTGAATGTTAAATTTGTATCTTTTGTCGGCAAACGTTTGATAATGTACACGGGGTGACTCGCATAACTTGATCACTTTCAATATTTTCGGGTTTTTTTTTTTTTTGGAAATATGAAAGGAGTTTGTGTTTAGTATAGAGGCAGCCATTATTTAATATGACAGTAATAGCTTTTTTGTAGCTGAAGAGATCGTCAAGGTCATCTCAAGGTCGCGTCCATTTTTTTTTTTTTTTTACTCCGTTAATCGATACAGCTTGATATTCTCTGTAGAAAGATGTACGCCGAGAAACTGTTAGCTTAATTTTCATTTTAACCTTAATTCTCTGTAGGTGAACTCTATCGTACACAAAGGCAAGGAAACACAAGGGGCAGTATTCTTGCGTTTATACTTGTCCTCGTCTCTCATATGTAGATTTTATAAAATTGTCGTTATCTTACTTTATTTTATAAAATTATAAAATTATATATAAATATAATTATATAAAATTATATATAATTATATGTATTATTATATATAAATATTAAGTTATTATATATATATATTATTTTAAATTTTATATATATATATATATTATTCTCCGTCTCGTTCTCCAATTCTAAAATCGTAATAACGAAAGGAAAGGGGGCCTGGCGGCGTGCAGAGAACGAAAGAGCAAGATGATATATCGAATCGATATAGAAAAGGGTGATGGCCAAGGGTCGAAAAAGCGAAGAGAGCGAGCAAACGAGCGACCTGTACGTATACGGGCCACCAGGCGGAATAAAGTGGAATTTCAGCGCAACCTGAATTATAAACGATATTATGCAAACACCGCGGAGAAAGAGTACTCGTAGCAGCGAGTTAATTTGATGAAAAACATCAGAGAGCAGCCAACGGATAGAGAAACCAACGAGGAGTGAAACACAGAGAGAGAGAGGAGGGAGGAGAGGAAAAGGGAGAGAGAGAAAGAGAAAGGGAAACAGGCAAAAGACGCATCCCGGAAAGAACGTTCTTGAGGAGGAACACGCGGCTCTTCATCTAGGCTTTTCGACTCTGAAGGCACTCTAATCACCGAACAATCGTGCCGTGTTAATTCAAATAGGCGTATCTGGTCAGAGGATGGTTCGACGATCGATTTTAGAAAAAACACTTCGAGTACTTGACACTCGGGCATCTCACATAAACGTTAAATACAAACTGTTGTACCTTGAGTTTCAATGCAGTATTATATTGTACAATATAGATATAGATCGATGACTCTCAACCATATTTGAATTAATGCGACAGTATGGCAGTATGGCCGCGACAGGGAATTTCTCATTAAACGTACCTTTTCCTTGCTAATACAAAACTGAAGGAATATATAACTATGACTCGTATGACTTGAGTTTTTCGATTGGCTCATTGAAAACACGAACTTTCATGACAGTGTACTTATTTGGCGCATTTCCTATTCAATTTGAATTCAAAACTTGAGTACAGCAAAAACGGATTGCAAAATTTGCATAAGTTTACGTATACTGGTTAATGGAAGCAAGCAATTTTTAAATAATACTTCGAAAATTTTCATAACGAAAATAATTTTTTTAATTATACATAGTTAAAATTCAAATATGGTACTGTACGGAGACTTTTTTGACTAAGTGTAAGTTATGTTATAACATATTATATATTATAGCATAACATGTTATAATAAGTAAAATTATATGTTTAAAACAAAATAGGCAAAACAAATAATAAACTTATTACTGCTTAATCATTTCTATCCACTGATAACATATCGACGAGCTCAAAAAGAAAGCGACAAATTATTGTATACGGTCACTCGTTATGGTCCGCGAATCAGTTGCCAACGCAAGTGATTAAGGATACTTGTTTAAGTAATTTCGTTTTCTGATACTGTAAAAGATTGTATTTTATTTAAAACAGCTTTAATCTGTAATATAATTTAACATTTAAACACACTAAATGTCAATGTATTTAACTAGAATATAGGTTATGTTAGGCATAACATAGGTTATGTTATATTATATATCATATATTATATATCATAACATAACATGTTATAATAAGTAAAATTATATATTCGAGTAAAACAAAATAGGCAAAACAAATAATAAATTTATTACTGCTCAATCATTTCTATCCATTGATGTCATACCGACGAGCTCAAAAAGAAAGCGACAAATTATTCTATACGGTTCAGTCACTCGTTATGGTCCGCAATCAATATAGTTAACGTCTTGCGCTGGAATGACGTGCCACACACGTCGATAACTTTTTGTCAGTTTTAAGTATATTTAAGTATAACGCAGGCAAAACAAATAATAAATTTATTACTTGTCAATAATTTCTATCCAGTGATATATCGACGAATTATTGTGTACGATTCGTTATGGTCCGCGAATCAGTTGCCAGCGCAAGTGGTTAAGAATACCTAGAAATAATGTCGTTTTCCGACACTGTAGAAAATTTTATTTTATTTAAAAGTTAATACAGCTTTAATCTGTAATATAATTTAACAATAAACACACTAAATGTCAATGTATTTAACTAGAATATAGGGCATAACATAGGTTATGTTATAACATATTATATATATCATAACATAACATGTTACAATAAATAAAATTATATATTCAAGTAAAACAAAATAGGCAAAATAAATAATAAATTTATTACTTCTCAATAATTTCTATCCAGTGATGTCATACCGACGAGTTCTAAAGAAGAAAACGACAAATTAATGTGTACGATTCGGTCACTCGTTATGGTCCGCAATCAGTTGCCAGCGCAAGGGATGAATCTTCAATCGATAGAGAAGTGGTTTGATTTTCGATCGATCAAGAAACCTGAGGGTTAAATTCACCAAAAAGAAACAGTTTAATTGGTAAGAAGACTTTAGTTAGACGAGAGCGTTTAGCAGCATCGAACGATGACAATCGATCGACACTGAATTTACGATCTAAAACACAACAACACGACTGTTTCAATGGTTCCACGATCACCAATCGCATCGCCTGGCTAGTCGACTCCTAGCGAAAGAAAAAACAAAACCACATCGACATTCATGAAACTAATTGAATTAACAAACCGATCCCCGGGTTCCTTTTCTCCTTTATTTACACCACCACACGAGAAATAGAGAAATAGAAATACGGGGGTGTACGTCGATCCACGGAACGCAGAACGATGGTTGGAAGGAGAAAAAACAAAGCTTCCGCGCGTTTCGCGCCATTCGAATCGTGGCCGCGAATATAATTCTCCTTTTTTCTGCTTTTTCTCTTTCCCTTCATCCTTTCTCATCCCCTTCCCTCTCTATGTGATGTCGATGTGACAATCTAACAACAGTACCATCCCTCCTCCTCCCAAAAAATTACATCTTTTTATATTTTCTTTTCTTTCTTCTTGAGCGAATCTTGTATTTTCTTTTTTTCTTTCTTCGCTGAAGAGGACACTGAACATGGGACTTTTCCCCGATTCGAAATTGACTCGATTATTTATCAGGGGATTCATCTTTCAAAAAGGAACGTTGGTACTTGGTGAAATAATCGCGCTACAACGTGGAAATAGTTTAGAATTGTTCACGTCAATTGTCTAACAGTAAGCTCTCGCAACGAGATACAATTTTAAGATAAAGTTTCATCGAGTTATCAAGGGGACAGTGTGAAATTTTCAAAAAATCGATTTCTTTCGTTTTTTCTTGTTGTTTTAATAGTAGTTTGAAGTCTTTTTTGTTTCAAATAGTAGTTTGAAGTCTTAGAAACAAGATACAAAAGGTCCTAGCCTTTAAAACGATTTATTCTGGGGTTGAATTGAAATATTTAGTTTAAGTTTAGATTATGGCATACGTATGTTCTACTTGAGCTGTGTTCCTGTAAAATTTCTCGTTCCATTAAATGTAAAAATGTAGACGTCTTTGATTCGATTCGAGTAGTGTGAAATGACCGTCCACAGGCGTCTTTCGTCTCGCCGAGCCGAAGTGAAGTATAGGCGCCAACAGTAGTACTTCGAGAGCAGTTTTTAACACATTGCAAACCGCACTCGGCGCACCCAACCTGCTCTCAGGGACCGCCAAATTTTTCAAGCAACAAGAAAACTTTGTACAATGCATATATGCACTTCTCTAATTCACATTGATAAAATATTCTTAAATGTTACTATATATTTTTTACAGTAATATTTAAGAATCTATTTACTATGCATTTTAGATTTTAATTGTTATTTATTTTAATATATTTATATTGACACATTGAGGACGGTATGCTCTGACAAACATAGCCTGCATTGTCCTCGCATTTTTCGAATTATTTAATTATTTAATTATTATATGATTGGAAGGGTTCAAGAGAATGTATAGCATTCAACAAGTGTATTATTTTATCAATAATTAAAATTATTAATTATTTTACATTTTAGAGGTATTTTATTGAAGAGAATGAAAATACCTCTGGGTAACGTTTCTTGGTGTGGTATGTTAGGAAAACAATTTCCCTACTTCTTGAAAAATTATATAACATTATAATATAATTATATATAATTATATATTATACATAATATTATATAATATAAATTGTATATATATATTTTTTGCTATATAATTATATATTATACATAATGTTATACAGTACAGTATATTATACAAAATATTATACAGTACGATATATTATACATAATATTATACAATAAAAATATATATATATTTTTTGCCTGTCTCTTATAATGCAAAATAGAGTTCCCCGTCCGCAACAGTTGAAAACTGAAAGACGCGAAATTCGCGTCTCCCGTCCTTAAAAGCGTCTTCAACAACAACCAAAACGAATTTCCACGGTAACAAAACGAAAAGAGGAAGAAGAAAAAAAAAATCGTCTCGAATCCTGAAACGTTCGAAGTCGATATTTACAAGACAACATCGCTTCTCCTCCTCCCTCCCCTCCCCTCCCCCTCCCCCCCAAAAAAACGAAACTCTCGTTTATTCGCGCCTGTCAATAGTAACACCTCCGAAAACCAACGCTGCGCGGATCCTTTGCCATTTTTTACCCGGCGCTGCGCAGTGCAACGAGGCAAAACGAAGAGGAGGGAACCGCCGAAAAGTGGAAAAACGGGGAGAGAAGCGAGGAAGAAGCGTCTAAAAAGAAGGAAGAGAAAGAGAGAGAGAGAGAGAGAGAAAAAAAAAGAACACGGTGCCAAAATGCAGGTTTTTTTGGGGAGGGTGGGAAGAAAGAAACAGAGGGAGGTTGGCGTTGGTTCCCCCCCGCGGTGTCGAGAGGCCGCGAGCGGAAAAGAAACGGAAGAAGAAAGAGGAGGAAGTGGAGAGAGAGGTAGGGGAGGAAACGAGGAACCGAGGAAAGAAGCCTGAAGGGGTACAATCCTCGACACGGTAAACACACACCAGGCGCACGTGCAACCCTGCCAGTAATCGAGCCAACATCGCCAATCTCGGCTCGTCGGGGGCGGTTCTCCGCTGGCCGGGGGTTGGGGTGAGCTGCACAGGGACTGGCTGATAGCAGCCGTCTGGAGGAGGAAGCGCGAAGGGCGGTAGAACACCTCGTCGAAAAACCAGCCGAATCTACGAGCGAACGGCAACGGTGGTGGCGTGGTGTGGCGCGAGACCGACTCCGGCGAGAACCGACTCCTGGCGTTCAAATCACGGGCAATCGCGACACACGCTGGTTGTTACCACTTCGACCTCGCGCGTTTCACCATTACCACACGGTATTATATTGCATATCATTCCTGTCGTCGCCGGTCCGAGAAAATTTCGTGGACACGGATCGAAGGCTCGTGCTCGCTTCGACGATCGCTTCGACGAGAATCTGTTGAGAGCGGGGGGGAGACACGAGCGCGGGAAAGGAGGAGGGGGAGGATAGTGAAAGGATAGTTTGCAATTGATTTGCAATTTGAAGAATTCGTTCGGGAGGGGAGGGGGGGGGGGAGGGAATTGACTGCGATGGAAACGAACGGAGCCGTGAAATAATGAATTTTCATCGAACGTGGGAGAATTAGAATCGAAGAACGAGGCTCACCGAAAAACACGATCGTGGAGATCGAGAGGGAAACGAGACCGAGGATCGAATCGAAAATTGTGCTCGCGGCACGAGATTTCGAGTTTGGAACTTCATTCGAATTCGAATGTTACTCGAAGAATCGAAGAAGGGGACAAGGTTTTGACGAACGCAGGAACGAAGGAGGAAATTTAAAGGCCAACGTGGATTTTTCTCGCGTGTTGCTGGTCGTCGTAACCGCGAAAACAGCCACGAGTGTGAATTACCTTTAACTGTTTACGACAGTACACAATGTCCACGCGCGCCGATTGCTAGATCGTACGTAACTGGTGTACAGCTGGAGATATCGTACGATATGTATAGCTTGTACAGAGCTTGGTTCGGTGACAGCGTTACGCCAGACAATTATTCGCGGCTCCAAGAGACGTTGTCGCCACCGGACACGGTGGTGAGAGTCGGGAACGAAGGTGAGCACCAGTTTGTCGCTCACAAGGGTGTTCTGGCTGCTCACAGCGGCTATTTGAAAGCTCTGCTGACTAGCGCGTCGGCAACACCTCCCAGTCAAGGTGTTAACGCGAATGTCACGTCGTGCGGTAACATGCCGGCAACTGCCATCGCGGTAACCACTACCAATTTGTCGGGGCAATCAACGCGGCAGCCTGTCACGTCTGTCTCGGTTTCGTCCATTGGTAAATATTGTCAAGAATTCCTCTGAATCGGTTTGAAATCTATGAACTGTGTTGTTGTGCGTGGTTGCAAGCCCGTCTCTCGACGATTTTAGAAAGAAGAAACGTGCTTTCAAATTGAGGAGAATTTATTTTCAACGAGGCGAAGTAATTCTTTGAACGAGTTGATATTTCGAATCGAATTTTCTGCTCGCATAAGCTGAGGACAAGCTGTTAGTTTTCACGCAGAGCTGCTGAAAGCTCTGATCAATAATGATGCAAATCGTCTTGTATTTCTACGTAAAGTCCGAAGAAGAGAAAGGTTTTTTCTTTCTGAATTTTCGTCGAATTTCGTACGAACAGTTTTAGTTTTTCAAATGACACGATAAACTTCAAGAATGGAGTAAAATATCAAAATCAGAATGTAAAATGTTGTACAATTGTTTCGTTTGAAACAGAAACCAAACTGAACGCCGAAGATTTAAAAGATCTGAAGTAAATTTCCAAACTTTTTGAGAATTATGAGTAATCTTCCATCGAATTTTTTTCAATGTTGGATGCTTGTCAAACAGAAGATGCTCCAGTTTTCGTACAATTTTTTCGAAAATGAAGCTACCGAGGCATCGCGAAGCGTATTCAAATAAAATACCAAAGATTTGCAAAATCTGAACAAGTAAATTTCCACAGTAAAGTGCCGAATTCATTAAGAAAACGCACTCTACGATTTCCTCGTAGTTTCCTAATAAATAGAGCGTCAATATATCGCGCTGTGTATTTCTTATTTTCAACAAAAATCAAACTAAACGCCAAAGATTTCGAAGAAAATCCCAAGAAAGTAAGTTTCCAAACGAGAGAAGATGCCCAATTCTTTGTCCGATGCTTGCTCAAGCAGAAAATGCGCACGAAATGTTTCCACGATTTGATTTCGCTTAAAACAGAGTCAATTAAAATCGCGTTGTACGTCTCTCTTCTTTCAAACCAAAAGCCAAACTAAACGCCAGAGAATTCGAAAATCTGAAGAAACGAGTTTTCAAGAAGGAAATTCCTCCACTATTGAATTTTCAATATATTCAAATAAATCACGATTATCAGAGCGATTATCGTACGTTTCTCATTTTAACCTCTTGCGCTGGACTGACTTTTCCCCCCAAAGTTGCAATATTTCCTCGGCTTTAACTGTATTTCAAGTTTTTAACCCAGGCAAGACAAATGATGAATTTTGTCACTTCTCAATGATTCACAGTAGCATCATACCGACGACGAATTGTTACGTACGGTGTGTATCTGGTCGCTCGTTATGGTCCGCAATCGACTTCGTCAGCGCAAGTGGTTAAACAAACAGATAAAAACAAAAAAAAAAAAGAAGAAGAGAATTCTAATTTCTAGGTGGTGAAGCGTTCGCGCCTTTGTTGAACTACATGTACACGGGTAGACTGGAAGTGACACTGGACAACGTGTACAGCGTGCTATTGGCCACGCATTTGCTGCACATGCCGGGTGCACTGGAGCAATGCAGGGCTGCGTTGCTCAGGCTGAGGGCACCGCCGCCATTGCCGACCCCGATCCCGGTGCCGGTGCCAGCGCCACCGACATCCACGTTGACATCGACCTCGATGCCCACGTCGACGCCAGGCTCCGGCAACATACTCAGGCCAATACCGAACAGGCTGATGATAGATCCGAGTATGTGCTGGCCACCGACAGCGTCTCTTTATTCATCGGCCGCGCCGGGAGCAGCAGCAGCAGCAGCAGCAGCAGCAGCAGCAGTCTCCTCGTCCATCGGTATCCCGCATTTGCCCCAGCTGCAGCCGTCGGTGCTCATGCAATCGACCGTCCCGCTCGGCGTTTCCGTCGTCCCGACCTCGAACGTCCAAGAAAGCACCCAGAGCTCGACGGCTTATAGGTTTGAACGTTCAATTCTGGCTACGCTTCAGAGTAACGCAGTAGAGCGATCCTCGTTGAGAAAACGAGGACTGGGATATTGTTGAAAAGTTTTTTTGCTTCTTGCTTTTCTTTTCTTTTTTTTTTTTTTTTTTTTTCTTT